TGACAGCAGCTAACCAATCTCAATCAGATCATGTTCGATTCTGGAGTCCGATCTGCCGCCGACGCTTTCAAGGCGCTCGCCATCGGTGCCAAGTTTGTCTTCATCGGCCGCCTCTGGGTTTGGGGTCTCAGCATTGCCGGCGAGCACGGTGTGCGCCATGTCTTGAAGAGCTTGTTGGCCGAATTTGACATTTTGATGGAAGTCGGCGGCTTTGTGAAGGTGCAGGATATTAACCGCAGCTGCATCGACTCGTTGCCTAATTCTTCAAACTTGATTGCCGAGACCTCGCGGATTTAATAAGCCCCCGGCTCGGAGGGAAAGCGTGCAATGGCTTCAGCGATTAGTCTTTAGATACAATTTCCTTACTTAGTCATAGAAGAGTTCCGTCTAGAATATGAAAATCTTCCTCATCGCAGCTGAACCTGCTTTTGATTAAAGTTTGTAGCACCTTGAGTAATAACAGCTATTGTCAAGTTTTTGCACGTATAGTGGGGAGCAATTCAATTTCGGCGAGTGTTTTTAAACCTATAATTTCCTACTCATAGTAAAACAAACAGCAGATCGCAATGTAGATTACACCATGCACATCGAATTACTAAACCACAAAACGCATTTTTTTCTATTTGAGCATCCAATGAATTAGTTGCGCAGCATACAAAGTTTATTCCGTACTCATATGTAAATCTACCCTGGACTCATTGAAATTAATACCAAGACACTGCATAGATCAAAGAATATTACCAGAAAATGCTGATGGAAATAGAAATGGTACATTCATACTCACAACCTAGCATAATCGTATACAAGCACCTATAATTAGATGTGTCGATATAGTGCTTGACTTGCGCAGAGTGCTTGCTGTCTTTTTGGACTGAAGTAAGTTTTTAGGAAATGTTGTTCAATTTATTTTGGCCTTGCCATGATCACATTTAACGATTAGACAAGACAAGATTGTCGTGCTTAAGCTCAGAAATGATACATGTAACTAAGTATGTAGCGCAAGGCAGAATTTCGAGGCAGCAAGGCTTCTTGACGAGCGGGGCGCAATTTGCATGAATAGGTACCAAACTCCAATTTAGGCTTAAATCACGCAGATTCAAAGTCTCAAATCTCAAGTCCTCGCTGACCTGACTCTTTTTCTTGTTTAATGTCTGCATCAATCCCTTCATTTCTTAAAGTGAAAGCATGTCTTCAACAACACGCCAGTAAGCGAGCAATTGCTGCAATCTTCGTAGCTCGAACTCATTTACTCATTTATCTCTCTCTCTCACAGGAACAATCCTTGGCGACCATTGGACTCTAACAAGAGTGAAATCCGTGTTTTAGACATATCTCCATCCAACTCCGAAGGGACAAAATTACAACGGGATGTCATTGTATGTCATTTACGGACTGTATCCCTTGTGGACGAACCTGAATACGAAGCTCTATCATACGTCTGGGGGAGTACGAGCGGCAGTCGGGATATAGTTGTGAATGGAACTATATTGTCAGTAACAAATAACTTATTTGAAGCACTCGGGTATCTTCGCGATGCCGTTTGGACGCGCACACTATGGATAGACGCCCTGTGTATCAACCAAAAAGACGATGCCGAAAAGAACATCCAAGTAGCGATGATGGGCCGAATTTATACTCAAGCGTCCAAGGTTTTGGTCTGGTTAATGAAATCTAAATTACCAGGGCTCTTGGACGACATCGCTTCGTTCAGTCAAAACCAGGAAAGACATTTTACCGAACTCCCTTCATGGCTTCCAATATTGTCAAATAACGACTGGTGGCACAGAGCGTGGACACTCCAAGAAGCGGCCTTAGCTGAGAATCTAATATTCCATACCGGAACTGGGCGCTTTTCTCTCGAAGATCTTGCGGAATACTGCAACTCTCTGGATCGGCACCTGTTTCGAAGAGACCGATGCTGTTCCGAAGTATTTGCTGCAGCGTCTACGAATGATCTCCCCATTATCGAGCTTCATTCGGCATATCAAATGATTCAAGACCTATTATCAAATCGACAAATAATTTCCCAGGGTAAAAAAAGTTTACTGGATCTCATCGTAAATAGCAGGGGCCGTCTAGCAAGCAGGCCTCAAGACAAAGTGTACGCATACCTAGGATTGGCATGCGATGTTCCAGCAGACCTTGTTAAATATGAACTCCCTCTGAGAGAGTGGAACTTGCATATTTCTGCAAAGTTTATTCGGCATGATATGTCGCTAAAGATTGTTCGCCTTGCAGGCCCCTCGGGATATGATCAAATTGACATGCATCGCATGGCCAGGTTATCGTCATGGTGCCCCGACTGGACGCAAACGATGGATAGTATTGATGCTTCGCTCGTACAAACGCGATTAAAAGATCTCAATTCTGCAGGATTTACCGCTTCAGGACAAACCAAAACTATTCCGCGCTTTCCAAGGCCGAATATTCTTGGCGTGTCGGGAGTTGTCTGCGATACAGTCGCACAGGTAGGCCATGGCAGCTTATATTTATTTAATTTCGATGATGAGTTACGAGGTTTGCGTCGATCGTGTCGTCTGGTTGCCAATAGCACCCTAGTTCATGACGCTAAATGCAATGGATGCGATAAAATTATTCATGGTACTCGAAAGAAATGCCGCGCATGTCCTTATTTCGATCTTTGCAGCAGGTGTTTTAGTAAGTCAAGAAGCATACACCCAGGCCACTCATTCAGCAGCATTCCGTCACCAAACATCGACGTAACAGAACACGACGATGGTGAAACTGTCAAAGAGTCTAACTGGGTAAGGCTAAGCGAGATAGCCTACCCTTTCGGTGACGGCGATACCCTGAAAGATGCGCTTCGAAAAGTTATTACCACGGAGGGAAATATTGATATTCTATTCGGTCACAGCGATCATGGTATAGATGGTGAATCTAGAGACGCACGTATTCTTCTAGAGATAGCTTTCGCGAAATTTTGGCACCTCAAGATCGAAAACCGACCAGAAGCAGATTTCGCTATAGAAGCAAGCTACACAGAAGAAGGCTACACAATGGAACCTGGAAGCCTAGTTTCCAGGGTCCTGACTGAAGATTCCTTGTTTTATTTAATTCATAGGATCCGAACGCTACTATATAAGAGGCGATTATTCGTATCCAGCGAAGGATACATTGGCTGGGGTCCACTGGGGATGAAGGCTGGAGATACGATCGCCGTCTTACATGGCGGTGATATGCCTTTTATTCTTCGAGAACTTCCCGAGTGGGGAACTCGACCTGTTCGACCTGGTCCTGATCGCGATCGTGTATACAACTTCATGTTAGGAGAGTGCTATGCCTACGGTCTAATGAGGGGAGAGGCATTGGAGAATGAAGAAATGGAGAAGCGCGATTTCTTATTATGTTAGTCTGTGAGTTTCTCAGCTTATCACTATTCTACTATTGTAGCAATGCTTTTACAGATGATCAGTCTCATTTATGATGATTTCACTCCCCACTCTGTCTAATTGCCAAGAGGGCTGACTGTAGGATCCCACGTAGTTGGAGAATAAGAATTAAAATCCAATAATGCCATATCCTCTTCCGTCAACTCAAAATCGTAGAGTTCCGCGTTGGCCTCAATCCTAGACAACGTTTCGCTCTTTGGCAAAGGAACAAAGCCCTTTGAGCAAATCATCAGCTTTTGCACTCATTAAACGCAATATAGCTCTCAAAGGCCGGCAATTACACACCTTTTGTAAACTCCATCGCAGCAAAATCTGGGCTCCCGTCTTCCCATACTTCTTCATAAGAGCCTGCACCTGCGGCTCTTCAAATCTCTGTCCCTTAGCAATCGGGCAATACGCTTCTATCACAACCCCATGCTTATTGCACCATTCGACAATATCTGGATGCGCCAACCAGGGATGCAGCTCCCACTGGCCAACGCTAATCTCACCTGCGTTTCCTTCACCAAGCTCGCCTTCTAGCTCCTTGATGTATGCCAATGTCTCTTCAAGATGGTGCACGCCATAGTTGGACACTCCCATGGATCGAATCTTGCCTTCTTGCTTTGCTTCCACCAAGGCCTTCCACGTCCCCTTTCTCGCCTCTGGGCCACCGTATGGACTGTGGTTGAGATATAAGTCAATGTAGTCTAGTCCTGTCTCCTGAAGACTCTTTTCAACAGCCTTCTTGGTCTCTTTGTATCCGCCCTTGCGAACTTTGGTGGTGACGAAGATATCTTCGCGAGGAATGCCTGACAGTTTGAATGCTTCTCCACAGGCCTTTTCACTGTCATACATGCGCGCGGAATCGAAATGTCTGTATCCGGCTTTTAGAGCATGCACAATAGCGGTGACAGCTTTGTCGTGTCCGATCTTGAAACCTTGGCTAGCGCCGGCTGCAGTCTATGTGTAATCGGTTAACCGAGATAATCTTCTAAACAATGCGCTGGATTGCGACATACCCCAAAGCCTAGCACAGGAATATTGTGCCCCGACTTCATTTTATATGTGGACGTAAGAGTTAATTTTGCCATTGCGACTATATCTGAATACAAAGATGCTTTGAGAAAGTGATTTCCAATTATATGAGTTTGTCAATTGGGCTTGGATAGATGAGTGTAATGAATCGAATAGTGATACGCTTGAAGATACACCGTCGTCTTTAAATAGAGAAATAGTCACACTGAGTGCAAAACGAGTTGATCAAGGATAGAGCTGCTAGTTCATCCACTTTCCATCGGCGATCCAATAGGACGACGATTTCGCCTAAGACCGGCAATAGGGTGGAATAGTTGCCTAATTGGGAGTTTTTGGAAATGCGGGCCCGCAGCTATCTCCAGGAACCGAGAATACAACAGCTTTTTGCTCATTTTGCTGACTTGATGCTTCATAAAAGCCGAATTCATAATTAAAAACGAACAATCTCCGAATTAGAGATCAATATCATGGCTTCTCAAATGATTTGAAAGCCACATCGACGACGGAGCCATAAACTCCACCGCGGTCATGCATGATATCATACAAACTTCAATCGCTGTGGCGAAATCTCCATCACTCGCCGCTCTCAAGATATCCTATGCGAAACGCTACTCAAATTCGTCAGTAAAATCCAGCGACAAGCCGATTCCAAATAGCCTCACCTCCCGCATTCAAAGCCGTCGCATACATAACCCGCGATATCGGCTTAAGTCCATCCTCCGTATCTGCACCGTCCAAATGCCCATCCCAGAATCTCACAAGAGCTGCCACCCGCGTTTCTAAATAATCATTGACATTCCAGCACTTAACGCCAACGCAGGTGCCAAACTCGCGAAAGGCCAGCCTGTGGGATGCACTTCGGTGCATTATTGGGGAATTCTCACCAAGTAGCTCTTCGACTCTGATTAGAGCCTTGTCGGAGAGTTTCATAGCCCACGGTTCATCCGCCCATATGTGGCACATCCAAAGGCCCATTCCTAGGTCTAGAAAGTCATTTCCTGGAGATAGACTGCCCTTTCGTGTCATGAGATTCCAGTAATCGCTGACTTCTTGACCCAGCACGCCAATTCGATGACCTTGTTTCGCGGCTGTGCTCTGGAGCAGCTTGTATACAACGTATCCTGTTGCTGCATCAAGGTGGCCCTCTGACTGGACAAGTACGCTCTTCATATCGGTGGATATCTTCCATACCATTCGCAAATCGCCGGAGAGGCAGTGCATGAGAAAGCGCGGATGAATCGACCTCGCCAATTGTATGGCCAAATCGTTGTACTCTGTCTCACCCGCTGCAATGGAGAGTCGATTGAGCGCAAACATCCAAAGCGTGAGATAATGATGATACTGTCCATCGCCGTCTGGGCCCTTGGCATCCAGTTTCCCAATTCTCAGCCCTCCTCTCAAAGGCTCCTCATCCGTAGCACCATCAAGTCTTTTTTCTCCATCCCTTGTTCGGCCAAGTATGTCATGTACCGTAGTAACCAGACGCTTAGCTAGCGTCAAATACTTGGGCTTGGCCGTTTCTTTAAACAGAGTGATGAAGTTGACAACTCCAAAAGCGTCCGTCCAGAGGTACCTACCACGATGGCCTCCAGCTCCAGGATCATCAGGGAAATTCCAGCCAAGTACATCGTCGTTTGATAATTCATCAAATGGGCCGTATACCGACTTCATCGCCTCGATGAAGCGGCCGATCTTGTCGATTTCGGTCATGGCTTTCTGTAAGTGAAGTGATTTGTCACACGAATAATAGCGTTTCACAAAAATGCATCTTCTCTGCATGAGAAGAATAGATTGGCAATTTGCGACGATAATTCTCGTGATGCTCTTCATGTTGCTTATAACAGTTGTTGGATGTGATGCCATTATGACGATCTCATGAGAGCGGTCAGCTGGACAGCCCGGCTTGACACTAAGATTAAATTCTCAGCTGCCAAGAAGCTTAATGCAACGTACCGATGTATTGTTTACTTCATTCCACTGTTCAGACCACTGCCACTTTCGGCAATATTTCTTGGCTACCTTATTGATAATCTCATTTCCAATATCATACAGATCAAATACATTATAAACCAATTGAGTAGCAAAGTCACAAAATATACACAGAATCTCCAAAAAGTTAGCCGTAAAAGCCAAAACACAGCTTCCTAAATCTCACCAAGCGGCCCTTCATACACACTATGCGGATGATTCATCGCCAACGGCCACAAGTCACTCAAATGCTGCGTCTGCGTAACGACAAGGGCGCCAACATCGTCCCAGAGGACGCTTCCAAGAACGCGCACGACGCCGCTATAGCCCGGCGACTCCTCCGAGCGCTCGTCATCAGGCGCATTGGGATCGAAATCAGCGTCAATGGCCATGACAAAACCGCCCTGTTCCGGCGTGGGATGAAGATAGGAGTCGATGACGCCCTTGTCTGCACCAAGGAGGATATCAGAGTGAACGCCAGATGGGAAGTCTGCTGATTCACGAAAGTCTTGGAATTTCCTAAAAGATACGCTTCTGATTAGTCCATGATTACTCGTAAAAAAAGATATGCAAGTCAATACGTACGTTCTGAGGGCATCAACATCGTCATCAGAGACGTCCAAGTCCTTGGCATCTCGCCAATGGACCACCGAACGTTCTCTAAGATTGTCAACTCCATTCAGCTCGTGGCCCCAGTTCGCGACATCAGCTTCAAACTTGGTCTTGAACTGCTCCCACTCTTCATCCGTGTGATCGTGAGAAAGGCGATACGCCACGAATCCCCATTCAAAGTTATTCGGCGTGCCAAGGTATCGGTTCGCTGTTTCCACCCAGAGTTGTTGTTCCAAGGGCACTGGCGGTCCCCGAAGCTCCAGTCTTGTCTTGTCCTGAGCTGTCACTTGGCAAAAAGCACTCTGTGCGGTGCTATTCATCAGATCAAAGCCAGTTGGCAGGCCGGGCTCCGGAGGCTGGTCGGTTGGACGATCGTGGCCGAGCCAGAGCTCAGTCCGTGAAAGATACTTGAGTCTCAGGTAGTAATCGCCCTTTCTAGCGTGAGTATTCGCAGAAAAGGAGATGGGCTCCATGCGATAGGGCTCGTTGGCGCCAGGAAGCGGCGGCGCATCGTCCTGAGAACGAAGGCTTTCTCCTTCATATCCATCCATTGGTAGGAAGATGCCCGAATCAGCTTGAGCTGCATTCTCCAACAGGTCATGAAGCTTGTTTGTCAAATCCCACTGCATCGGGTCAAGGTCAATCCCAGTCGATGGAGGATTAGCCGCGAGCTCTTCGAGGATAGGGCGGCGGAGACGGTCAACGCTATTGATGACCCAGCGGTGGGCATGTGCAGAGATGGAGTTGAAATGAGTCTTGATATACTCGTGCCATCTTGCTGCAATCTTGACTTCTGGCTTCTGTTCCAGCCGATTCTTGGCGTTGAACGCGTCTTCGAAATGACGCAAGTGTCCCCATATCAGATTGTAAGTCTCGCGAAGAGCAGCCTTGATAGGAGGAAGATTCAGGTAGTGAAAGGCATTTGTCACGCCGGCAATATACTGGCACGCCGCGTGAAAGTTTTGCGGAGAGTCTAGAGAAAGATCCTTCCAGCGCCTCTCGGAAAGAGGCAGGACGCCTTCCCATAGCCTCGACTTCATCGCGTGAAGCTTCTTTTCGATGGGCACCAACCGCGCTCCATCCTCATGGGAGCCAATGCGAATCATGAGCTGCTGTACAAGTATATCGTGGCTGGTATTGTACGGCGCCGGCGCCCACGTCGCCATGGGCTGCTGCATCAGCATCACCACGTCCTCGGGGAGCGGCGGAAAGGATGATTTGGAGCCATCGGAAAGAATTCCAAACGCCATGGACTCGATAAAATGAGGAATCGTTTGCGGCTCCAGGATTCTGTCCACAATCCAGAGCTTCTTGTCGCGCTCACTCTCAGGCACCTCCGGATGCAGGATCAGATCATGAGCTCCAGACGGAGTATTGCGCCGGGCGATGCGGTTGCTCTGGAGCTGGCCCGAGAACGGAAAGCCATTGCGGCTCAACAGCAGATCAAGATTCAACAGGACATTTCCCATGTTCATCTTGAAAGAAGTGCGCGGCTAAACGCAAGCCGCCAGCGAGAGAGATTCGGGGTTGCAGTTGTTTCAGGAAACTCGGCTCAGCTCATGTATTCATGTATGAAGCCGTCAATGGGTCTAAGTAGACGATAACGAGAGGATTTCAATCCTGCACTTGCAATTGGAATGAAAGAGAAAAGAAAGATTCAATGTCGCAAGCTCAATGATAGCAGCCAATGAAGAGAAATCAAGGAGATGCGCGCATTTTTATATCTTGAGCCAAATCGTGAAGTTGGCATCTCGGCCGACCAAGTGGGACATCTAACTTTAATGGTCGCAGTGGCTGCCTGGCCTGCCTAGAGCAAGCGAGCTTTAGAAGGAGGCCAGTGCAAGTTAGTGCAAGGAATTGCCGCTATTGCATCAAGCTTATCTGCCTAAACGGAACGTGTTGAATGAGTTTGCGCAAACAACATGAACTTGCATGTACTAAGGACCAAGTTCATAGCACAGAGTGGATGTTCCATGTCTATTGTCGTCGGATTGCTAATTCATGGGACCTGCAGCAGATACCCACTCTCGGCTTTAAACGAGACAGCTTATTCCAATCTTGAAAGTGCAGCAAGTGTCCAATGCTGGTCATCCAATTGACCTACAAAGGCAAGCAGGTCATGATACATGGATTTTAAAGCCGCCAATTAATACCTGTCCATTAATATCAATTTTCCTTCATGCAAGCAATCGGTTTCATCAGCCCATTTTACCAGCAGGTATGGCGAGTCGGGTAGGTATCACGAGTCTCCTAGATGCTTAATAATAACCTTGAAGCAATCGTACATTCATCCTTGGCTGGTTCCGTACGGCGCTGGGGCATTGTATTGCCTAGTACTGCATATTGTGTCAGTCCATGTCCGAGACGAGTAACATGTGGGATTATCTCGATAAAGACGACCATTGAAATCATGATCATGACCAGACCTTTATGTTAGTTTGAGAGCTAATCACCATCAGAGGTGCTGTAGAACCAAGGTTTTCTATGACTTGGCCTGTACACCTCTAAACATTCTGGGATATGCATCCATACCCGACGTTTTTATATCATATCAACCTAACAACATGGCTGAGCCAATGATAATATACATGATATAAGTTTGCCCTTTAGATACTAATACTACACCCACCACGTCTGGAAGGACGAGAAGAGCGGCAACGGCTTCTCCTGGCGCCCAATTCCCCCCAACAGCTACATCGCCCTCGGAGACGTTGCCCAGTCCGGGTGGTCGGCCCCTAAAAACACCGACGTCTAGTGCGTGCGCCAGGACACTGTCAGGCAAGGCAGTTTTGGCTCCAATAGCGTGTGGGACGATAAGAAGTCTGGCGCAAAGGCAAACTTGTCGGTTTGGGAGATTCGCAGTTCAATTGTTTGGGCTGCCGATGGCGAAACTGAAACCACCGACGGCCAAAAAGTTGGTGATGGTGGACTTGCTGTTACTACGTATCTTGGACCGATCCGTGAGAGCCAGGATTACGATGCGCCAGACTCCAGCTTTGCTCACGTCCCACTTGCGTAAGATTTATATGTAAGTTGAGGTCGTTCAAATGCATTCTATGCTTGAATATACTGTCTAGATCCATTGCTGATCTTGGGAGAGACGTACAGGAGGGAATGTATTGACAGTTGTTCAAAACACCAGAAGACTTATAACCGCGAGGGTCAAGAAAACATGAATTTGTAGCTCAACTCTATAGTTCTTGATACTACAGTCAGCACATACTCTGATAGATTATAATTTGAGTAGCAGTGCTGTTTAAACTATATCCATGGGCTGGTCCTTAAGCTATAATTGTAATGGTGTCTCTAAATTGCAAATTGACGACTGTCAAGGCAATCCGACTGAAAAATGGATTCTCATCATAGTCGTTATCAATTTGCAACACTCATTTCACCTTCTACTTTTAAACAATGTAAAACAAACACCACAAAACTCAATCGCCAAAACGCCCCAGATTAGCCACGCTGACTCCCGCAACCTCATCCATGTCCCGATTCAAGCCCCGATGTACGCAGTATGCCTCCTAGGCCTCGTCATCATTGTCATCAGTCATATCCATTCCAGTTTCTTCCCTTTCGTCCTCATCGTCAACCAGCATCGTCCTTCGCCGACCCAGTCTGCCCTTTCCTTTATCCATCGTGCTGCGTCCTGTTCTTTTGCCATTTAGTTTGTGTGACGCTTCGACTTTCCTCCTTTCCAAGTGTTGTTCGAAATCCGCCAAGTCTTCAGCCTCGTCCTCTGCAGCGCCATCCACCAATGCCGTCTCTTCCAAAGCCTTATTCAAGAGCTCTGTTGCGATACTGTCTTGCGGGTGGATAGCTAGGGCCTCGTGAAGGACTACAGCAGCCTCTTGTGGCCTATTCTGCTCCATGAGAATAAGTCCCTTGGCACTGAAGATGGCAGCATCCTTCCCTCCTGCCCGTAACACTTCATCAAATTCTGCTAGTGCACGGTTGAAGTGCCGTAGTCGGCGAAACGCATGACCTAAATTTGTTCTCGCCGCAAGCCATGCTGATGGCTCACTGTCGTTTTCGTCGGCAACTTTGAGGGCGGCGGTGAAATACTGGACAGCCTCTTTCGGCTTATCCTGGTGATATTTGACGATGCCCATCTCGTTGAGGAGCAGCGGGTCTGATTTGCACAGCCCGTAGGCAGTCTTTAAGAACTCTTCTGCAATCGTCATGTTGTTCAAAGCATGATTTTGCATTCCGAGGAAGATTTGTGGTAGATGAGTGCCCATAAAGAGGCGTGCAGCGGTTGAGTAGGCTGAAATGGCTTGATCGTGTTCTCCTTCTTCGGCAAATGTGTGCGCAAACCCAATCCAGGCCGGGCCAAAATGTGCATCCATCATGCTCGCTTTGCTAAAATATCGTCTGGCTTCTGCAATTTTCTTGATGCTAAAATAGTAAATACCCACTGCCAACCATGTACACGGTTCTTCAGGGTGAGTATCTGCCAGATCGTGGGCAATCAGGAATAGTAGATTCTTCATCTTGAGCTCGTATAGACAGGCCAAGTGGACGGGGTATATGGCAAAGTTGTACTTGTCTTCTTCCAGGATGGCATTGGTAATGGTCAGGGCATCTCGGTATCGGCATTGTGTGTATAGTAAGTCGGCTCGGGCAAGCTGCAGGTCAGGATTAGCGGCCAGCTGATAGTGCGTTGACAGCGAGTCGTAGGCCGTGTCGAATGCGGCGGGATTCCTATATTTGGATAGCCGTGTGGTGTAGAGCATCTTTGTGAATTCGGCCGCCTCCTGGGAAGATTTTGGATCCCCCGTTAGCTGTATTGAGTCAAAGTCTAGGCTGTCTAGAAATTGCCACTCTTCGTCCGGCGATAGAAGCGAGTTCTTCATCAGCTGTTGGAAGGCTTCGAAGCACTGCACGTCGATCCGTACAGCGTCCTTGTAGCATTCCTTGGCCCTGTCAAAGGCGTTTTGCTTCGCATAGCAAATGCCCCGGAGGAAGCACATAGCTGCCTCGAATCTTCGGGTCGCTGCCTCTTCATCTCCCGCATCGTCGTCTCGTCTGCGTCCGCCTCGAGGCTGGGCTGAAGCTTTTCGCTTGTTACTCGGGCCATTGGATATCAGGTGCGTCGGATTGCGCTCGCCAAGGACGGCTAGAGCTTCTTCGAATCGTGATTGTTTGATGAGGCAGTGGCCAGCGAGATAGCGGCAGGCTGGATTGCGGCCGATAAGGTCTTGTTTGGAGAGGAATGCTTGAGCTCGTGTGTAGTTTCCAGTCGCAAAATGGACCTGGGCCAGCCAGAAGGCATCGTTGTCGTCATCTGTAACCAGTAATTACACGTATCAGTTTGTGTGCCTCTGCGAAGCTCAATGGCACTACGCACGAGTCAAAGCAAGAAGCTTGTCTCCAATAAAGATGGCCGACTCATACTGCGCCTTGTTGAGGGCATCCTGCCTCCAGTCCCTCAGAAACTGCTCCATCCTCTAGCATCGGTCGGGACGTCGCATGAGGGCAGGTCCAAAAAGAATCAAATATTGAAGAATGGAATGACAAGAAAGAGGAAGAAATCAGTATGGGAAGGTTAGGTATTTAGCAGTGCAGTATGGTGGGATGGCGGGATGCTTTGTAGATAAGGTACATGTAGCGAAGTCGAATATCCAAAGCTCGTTGTTGACGCGCGACACAGCTCTGACCTGGATCTGCCGCGATCCGCGTTCGACTACAGCTGCTGCAGGGGTGGTCAGAGCAAATAGCGGGGTAGCTTCAGCGCAACGGACCCCTCCATGCAGCGAGTTTAGAGACTCTGCCCGCTGTACGGCATTTCCAGGGCAACATGTTAGTGCTAATGCCACCACTGTAAACATCCATGAGTGGGTTTAACGCTGGAGACCACTCAGAAAAAAATCCCACCAACCCCGAACTCCGATACAGGAGCGAGACAAATCTTTCTCTGCCTCTCATCATCGACTTATTAGTCTTAAACTTTAGCACGACTCCCATCGGAAGATAAAAGGTCGCCAATTCTCCCCTGTAGGAAACCTTACATTACGAAACAAAACAACATCATCAATCTCGAACAATGGCCTCTCCCCTCCCCGTCCGCGCTGCGGCCCTGTCCCGCGACACCAACGAGACCTCGATCCAAATCGCCCTCAGCATCGACGGCGGCGAGCTCCCTCAAGATGCCGACGCTCGCCTGCTCGAGGCTTCTAGCGCACACGCCTCGCAGACCAGCAAGTCGCAGGTGATTTCCATCAACACGGGCATCGGCTTCCTGGACCACATGCTGCACGCACTGGCCAAGCACGCCGGCTGGAGCATGGCGCTCAACTGCAAGGGCGATCTCCATAGTGCGTCATACCATATCAATGACTTCAGTTACTATACTAACTCTTGCTGCCTCCAGTTGACGACCACCACACCGCCGAAGACTGCTGCATCGCCGTCGGCGCAACCTTCGCCAAGGCCCTCGGCGCCCTCACCGGCGTCGCCCGCTTCGGCTATGCCTACGCCCCTCTCGACGAGGCCCTCTCCCGCGCCGTCGTCGATCTCTCCAACCGGCCCTACACCGTCGTCGACCTGGGCCTCAAGCGCGAGAAGCTCGGTGATCTCAGCTGCGAGATGATCCCCCACTGCCTGCAGAGCTTTGCCCAGGCCGCGCGCATCACGCTGCACGTCGACTGCCTGCGCGGCGACAACGACCACCACAGGGCTGAGAGTGCGTTCAAGGCGCTGGCGGTGGCTGTTCGCATGGCTACGACTAGGGTACAGGGCAGAGAGGGAGAGGTTCCTAGCACCAAGGGCACTTTGAGCGCTTAAATAACAGGCAGAGAAAGAAAGTAAAAGGGTTGATATAGAGGGAGTTTGGAGTTGATCAATTTTGGATATATAATTGTTCCGCGATTGCGGTACGAAGTATTGGGATATCTGGCGGAATTATACGAGAAAAGCTTTGGAATAGAAATTGAATGGATATCTGTGACGACTCGTGGCAACCATTCACCAGAAAAGAAAGTATAATAAGATTATTATCCATTCGCCTATTTTACATGCCTATGTCCGGTAGTCTCCATTAATCGTAACATAATCGTGACTAAAGTCACAAGTCCAGTGCACAATGCTCTTATCACCCGTCCCCAGCCTGACCAGAATCTCCAAGTCCTCCATCTCGAGAATCTCGCTCGCCCTCTGCTCATCAACATTCTCCGGCTCACCATTCACCAACAGCTTCAGTTCCGCTGAGCCATCCGTAGGCACAAAAGACACGCTCGTCCGCTCGGGGATAATCTCAGGGACGTCATTGATAGGCTGACCCGGAGGCGAGATAAGTGCGTAGCCCGCAGCACACAGAATACGGCCCCAGTTCGCATCTTTGCCGTACAGAGCTGTCTTGACGAGAGGAGAGCGAGCAATGGCTCGGGCAATTTCTCGTGAAGCATCCTCGGAAGCGCCATCCACAACACGGATGGTGACAAACTTGGTGGCTCCCTCGCCGTCGCGGACGAGATATTTAGCGAGCTCGGCAGAAAAGTCAGTCAGGAGCTCCTTGAAGGCATCGTAGTCGGCAGACTGCTCAGATGAAATCTCCGTGCCGCCAGCCGCTCCATTGGCAAGAAGAGCCACGGTATCGTTGGTGGAGGTGTCGCCGTCAATGGTAAGAGCATTGAATGATCGATCCACCGAGTATTTCAACAGAGGGTTCATGAGACTGGGCGCAATGGGTGCATCGGTGGCCAAGATGGTGAGCATGGTAGCCAGATTAGGGGCCATCATGCCAGCACCTTTGGTCATGCCCGCAATGCGGTACTCGACGCCAGGCGATGAAGGCAGCTCAAAGGACCTGGACATGAGCTTGGGAAAAGTGTCGGTGGTGCAGATGGCCTTGGCACAGTCGAGCCAGTGCCTGTGAGACTCTCCAGCATGGTGATAGGCCATGGGGATGTGGTCCACGATTTTCTGAATAGGAAGTCTACGACACAGTCAGTTTTTGTAGTAGTCTCTTCAAAACCGCATCACCAACCTCTGTCCAATAACGCCCGTGCTCATCACCAGCGTCGAATCATCGCTCCCAACCCGCTGATCCGTCGTCCTCGCCATGCTCGCCGCATCCTCCAGGCCTCCGACACCGGTCACGGCATTCGCATTGCCCGAGTTGACAATGACGCTGCGCAGCCCAGCATTGGCCTTGGTCTGCAGGATCTTGCGGCTAAACGTCACCGGCGCCGCCTGGAACTTGTTCTTGGTGAAGACGGCGGCGGCTGAGGCCGGCCTGTCGGACGTGACGAGGGCGAGATCCGGCTTGCTGGTGTTGCCGGGCTTGACGCCGACGAAGACGCCCGAGGCGAGGAAGCCCTTTGGGTACGTGCCGGACGTGGGCACGTATTTGAGCTTGGCGGGCGGGATGGCGTTGGCGAAGCCGGTGGAGTAGGCGCGTTTGAATTTGAGCATTTTTATCACTTTTTTTGTGTGATTTGCATGCTTGGTGGTGTTATCAATGGAGAGTGAGTTGTGTTGAATAGAGAGTTTTTAGCTGTCGAGCTATATTGATTGGATGCTAAGCTGCGGCAGCCAACTGCTGCCGTGGATGCTCCATAGCGACGGGTATGAGTCAAAGGCAGCCGATAGGGGAGACATGGCTAATAGGAAAGATTTATTTGGACAAGTATCAACAATGGCAAGAAGGTTCATAGACGTGCATCATATCAAGCGATTGACTCTATTCCACATTACCTTGTTGGTATAACGGCGTCCTCTCTGAGAGCATTCGAATATGAGCTCGCCCCGACCACGACTCATACAACAGATGTCGATGGAGACTAATTGGAATTATGCATCAGGCATATGGATACCATGTTATGTAAGTTTATATAGATCATTCACCTCAGTAAGATCCTATGCTCCTTCTCGTTTTTCTTTCATAATCTCAGCACATCTTGAACATTGCTGCTCAAGTAAGACTCTGGCTGAGCTCTTCTGCCTGCTGCTGCCTGTCTGGCTGAGCTCTGCCTGCGGCTAGAGTCTCACTTGTCTGGCAGCACTAGCAGCAAACGGCAGGCACCCGCTTACCTAATCTATCTTTTCCCGCCCCACTCTGCCGCTATAAAAGCTCGTCTGCCCTCCCACATTTTCAGACTTCTTTTCTTTCCTTTCCTTCTCCATCCAAGTGCACGGGCGTTTTCCTTCTCCGTGAAGCGATAAGCTGAGAGAGGAATTTTGCTAGTTGAAAACTATACACTGACCACTCCTGGCTGGGTTCGTCCCGGCCAGGGAATTTTTGGAACACCCACGAATTTCCTTTGGATGGAAAGCTTTTTCGTTTTTCTTTCATTACGGTTGGTCCCTGGTGGACTGGCGTGAAGAAGGAGGCTGCGTTGGAGAGCGAAGTGGGCGTTGGACTGCGCAGAAATTTACGATATGCTTCGGGCATGGAGATGATAGATGCTGCTGGGAGCGATGATATAGTAAATGTTTGGATGGGACGCGTAAGAAGACGCGTTGCCGGTAAATGCTCACGATTCTGTGGCTTCACGCCGTACGAGATGGATCTGTTGTGGCAAGGCTGCTTGTGGTAACTGTGGACTGGGTGACTAGATGACTGGATACCATAGAAGTAGATGATAATCTGTAGCAAACAAACGGAAGCATGTCCCCAAAGAAATGCGGTTGAGATGCTCCAAAGGAACGTGATGTTTGCTGTGCACCAAGCTCTAGGCAGCTTCAGCCGCACAAAACATCACTGTCGCGCACATCACCAAGCTCTGCAGTAGAGACGCATACCACCAGCGAATATCCTCTCTACGTACCTACTAAATGCTCAGCTTCACCACTCCAAAGGCTTAATTACTGAGTCCAGCTCCCGCTAAAGAGCTCGAAATCTTAAACTTTAGTACAGCAAGCCCGCAAAGTCAATCTTCGCTGCTCGCAAAGTTTGGCTGCTCGTCCCAAATCTTAACCTTAGCGCGGGGCATTTCCGCTTCCCTCGATTTATTTTCAGTGACTCAAAGACCCCACCTTTCACCTCTCACAGACTTGCGTCAACTTGACCAGCATTTACTTTGGGCTGCTTTGAGCCTACATTTCTGTATTCTTATTCTCGCCGCCTGAATGCTGAGATTTTATTCTTGCGACGGTATCTAAACTTGCGCGATTTCGGTTTCTTGTCCAATTATCGCGGCCGAGAGCGACTCCGATACAAGGCCCTCTATTCGGTGACTGCTACACCAAATCCTCGATTCTACTTCGCTCTTCGATATCGTTCCCACCGCAGACTCCCCTCCTCATGGCGGCAGAAGGAGGACAGCCCGCGCCCAAAAGCGAGGCTCCAGAGAAAAAAGACCAGGCCGCGCAGGCAGACCAGAAGAAGGCAGACCAGAAGAAGGCCTCAAAAGACCAGCCCAAGGCCGGCGCAGCAGCTGAACCCGCCGGCGAGAAGAAGCTCTCGGGCGCAGAGCTGAAGAAGAAGGCCAAGGAGGAAAAGGCCGCCAGAAGAGCGGCCGCCAAAACGACACAGCCCCAACCGCCAGCCGGAGCGCCAGCCCAGAGCGACGCAAAGAGCGGCAGCAAACCGAAGCCAAAGCAAGACGGGCCTGGACAGGCTGCGGCCCAGCATGGAAAGATTCCCGCGCCGCGATCGGCTGCGCCTGTGACAGCAGCGCCCAAGGAGGTGAAGCCGTCGATTCCAGATTACTTTAGCCACCTGGCCATGGCAAAGGGCGTCAACATCACCCATGCGGACAAGGACGTCCACCCGGCTGTTTTGGTGCTGGGCCAGCAGATGAGCACCATGGCCATCAGTGATAGCACCACTCGGCTAGAGGCTACTCTCCTGGCGTTCAAAAAGGTAATAACTCTGCCCTCCATCAATGCGTGAACGGATCTGTTAACTGGCGAACTCAAGGTCATCGACTCATACACAACACCCCATGGAACCACCCTTTCTCGACACTTCACCTCCCACGTCCTCAACCCGCAAATTGTCTATCTCACAGCCTGTCGGCCCATGTGCTTCTCCATGGGCAACGCCATCAGGTGGCTTAAGCTTCAGATCAGCAAGATTGATATCGACATGGCCGACTCTGACGCTAAAAAGCTACTGTGCGAGGCTATTGACAGCTTCATCCACGAGCGCATCACTCTCGCCGACCTCGTCATTGTCAACACGGCGGCCGACATGATTGACGAAGACGACGTCATCCTCACATATGCGCACCACCACCTCGTAGAGAGGGCCCTCCTCAAAGCCAAAGCCAACGGCAAGCACTTCAAGGTCATCCTCGTCGACGATCCGTTTGAGAGAGTCGGCCTCGGCCACGTCAAGAAGCTAACCGCCGCCGGCATCCCCGTAATCTACTCCCCCGACTTTGGCGCCCTGCGCACCAACCTCCAGGAGTCAACCACTGTTCTCGTCGCGGCAGAGGCCCTGTTTAGCAACGGAGCCATGTATGCGCGAGCAGGCACATGCGATGTTGCGACAGCCGCGTTCGACTTGGGCATGCGAGTGACTTCGCTGTGCGAGACTATCAATTTCACAGAGCGTGTGTCGATAGATTCGCTCACGTATAATGAGATTGATCCGGAGCGGAACACGGATGAGGAGTTTAGGCTGTTGTTTGACACGACGAGGGATAAGTATATTTCGGCTGTGGTGACGGAGTTGGGCATCTGTTCGGCAAAGTCGGTGCCTGCAATTTTGCGAAAATTGGAGGAATTGTAAAGAATAGTAAAAAAAAAAAATGCCAAGACAAAATAAGAAGCATTATGACGGGATATCAGGCTGTACCCAGGAAGAATCAGAGACAAACAAAAGGATAGGCCAATTTGTTGGCTTGATATCAAAATCGACATGGCAATTGATTTATATCGTATATAAGTGTATAACTGTATCTCTGAGCTTGTTCAGTGCCTTGAGTCCAGTAGCTTGCTCACCCAATGACATGTAACATAACATCTCAACCCACGTCCCTCAAACTTCGTCCTTCAATTCTAGCCATCCAAGACAGAAAAAAGACATCAATTCCGAAACTCTCTTCGCTCTCTGTATGTACAATTCGGATATTTCGCTCTTCCTTCCCTTCCATCCCAGGTATGTCCCGTCCCTTTTATTACATTTCTTCCTTCACACACTTTTTTCTCTCCTCCGCCTCTTCATAACTTAAGCCTCCTGTCCCCTCTCAGCATCGCGCTGTGCCTTCCTCGCCCTCTTCTCCAGCAGAGCCCTCTTCCGCTCGCCAAGCTGCTCGGCCTGTCTGTCGTCCACGCCTTGCAGCCAGTGTCCGAAGCTCGCTCCGCCGAGCGCATAGACGGGGTACGCCCACAGGGAAGAGCGGTTGAAGAAGGGACGCATCTCGATACCGACTTGCCAGAAGCGCACGGCGAGGCCTGCAGAAGTCAAGTTAGTATTGAGAGAAGCCTCAAGAGAGATTTTGCCCGGGTGGGGGAGGAGACGAACCGAAGCAGCTCCAGAATGCGATGCGGTGGACCATGGTGGATGGAGTGGAGATCCTGATCTGTGTTGAAAGGAGGAGAGATTGAGCGGTCCGGGAATTGGAAGTCTTCCCTGGTGGTGTGGGAGAATTGGCCGGTTTTGAGAGCTTGGATGGGCCGTGATGCCTGGGCTATCGGAGTTGGGATGAATGAGGTTCGAGACCCGCCATTGGAATGGAGTCACGTGGCGAGGCATGTGACCTGCCTTGAGCGAGAGCAACACAACAGACTTGATAGCTGTAATCGACTTTGGTCTTGAAATAAAAATTTACTAATACAAAAAAATTTATTCTAAGCATAAAATTAATATCGTTTGCCTTACTCTTGATACATTTGCGCTGTGTTGTCAAAGTAGCCGAGGAACAATCGCCTCGTACAGTCATTTAAGAGACTCGGGCCAAGCTACCGTACCAATGTATGAGAGTATAAGAGCTACATCATCCATTGCAGGCTGACCCAGATGAATTTTGATTCAATCCATGATTTTACTCAATTGAAAGCCGTAGCACTCCAATCATAGCTCAACGAGATAGTCAAAGAAAGCGAAAGATGTGGCCATCCCGCTGACAAGCCAAAGATGCAGCATGTCTGAATCAACGATCAGACAATCAAGTAAACATGTCAACCCACTTCAAAAGAAATTGGCAAATTATAATTATACAGCTTCTAAGACCACAGCCAGCTAGCTCATTACCAAAAACCCACGCCCAAAAAAAAGCCAACAAAAAAAGCACAAGATCCATCCCACCCAAGCAAAGTACAGTACAGTTATATCAAACCTGTCAAAAGCTTCAAACTTCAAGCTTCAAACTTCAAGCTTCAGCCCTCACCTCCGATTCACCCCAATCAAACTCAAAAACTCATTCCTCGTCTTCTCCCTCCGTTCAAAACACCCCAACACGCAACTCGTAATCGTCGTGCTCCCCGTCTTCTGCACGCCCCTCATCACCGTACACAAATGACTGCTCTCCATCACAACACCCACCCCCTGCGGCGCCAACACCTCGAAAATCGCATTCGCCACGTCCTTTGTCAGGCGCTCCTGGATCTGCAGCCGCCGCGCAAACATCTCCGCTATGCGCGGCAATTTACTAATGCCAATCACGGCGTTGTTCGGGATGTAGCCAATGTGCATCTTGCCCATGAAGGGCACGAGGTGGTGCTCGCACAGGGAGTAGACGTCAATGTCCTTGACAATCACCATTTCGTTGTGGCCTTCTTGGAAAATGGCCCCGTTGACAATATCTGAAATGTCCTCCTGGTAGCCCTTTGTAAAGTCCAGCATGGCCTTTGCGTAGCGCTGCGGCGTGGCGAGGAGGCCTTCGCGGTTGGGATCCTCGCCAACGCATTCTAGCAGCGTCCGTACGGCGCCCTTCATGCGCTCCAGACGTAGAGCTGCTCCTTCGGGTGTTTCTTTTCGACGCTCCTGAGTTCCAAAGCTGGGGCGGCTGAGGCCCTCGAAATCGACGAGCGGGCCGTTTGTCTTGGCCAGGGCCGTTTCTGCGCCCGTCTTCACATTGCTGCTGGTGCTGTCGCCGTCCACATCCGCATCTTCCCTTTTCGCCCGCCGAGCTGCCTTCTTCTTCTCCTTTCTCCTGCGCTTTGCGTCTGGCTGGTCGCGTTCATCTCGTGGCGGCAGAATGATGCTGGGTCGTCTTCTGTAGATACGATGCTTGTTAGCGGGATGTCTCAGATATGCACCACTAGAGGCGGCCCTCGTACCCTCTGCTGCTGCCGTTCATTCGGCTATTGCTCTGACCCTTTTCGCTCCCAGAAGAGCTTTCGATAGCCTGAGCGTCCAATTGATCCATTTTAAGAGGAATATCTGGTATATGATCAAGTGTAACACACAAACGATGCGTCAAAAGTTTTTTTTTCCGCAAGGTGCAACTCAAAGCTACAACCAGCCGACAATCGGCATCGCCTTAGGTAATCAGCCGTTTTCAGATTTTAGCATCAAGACTAGCGACTCAAATTGGAGTAACGCAACATGGGTTTGGAACTTTTGTTTAAAAGACACAAGCGAGCCTGCTCGTAGGAATTGTCTATAATTATCAAATTCATAAACTACATGTCATCTAATCGCAAAAGGAAGAGTTGAGTTAGTCTATAAAAGGCCATTCCAGAAAAGTTGCTCATCAATCCGTCATTGCGACTTATACCCTGTTTACCTCTACTCCTCTCGTCTATCATTCGTGACATCAATCAAACGCCCAGAAAAAAAGAGATAAAAGACAAATATAAAAACGCCTGCACAATTCAAATCGTGACATTAGGGCCCAAACATGTAGTCGGCTGCATTTCGCGCCTCTCTATACGAGGGCGGGGGATCCGAAGGGACCGACTGTCTCTCTGCCGCTGGTCGAGAAGGAAGCCCAGCTGAACCGGACGCACCACTCTGAGTCCACTGAGCAGTCTTGGCCATCATCTTGCCCATGTACTGCTGGATAAACGATTCACTGCAAACAGTTAGCTCAAGTCTGTTACAAACTTCAAAAGGAAACATACGTATAATAGCTGTGATCAGAGTTGTGCGTCGAAACCAAGTTGTGAGCCAGCTCATGAGCCATCACAACCCACCACCACGTCCCAGCCTCAGCTTTACCAGCCCCGTTTGGCACATCAACCTGCGCCGCGTGAAGTTGCAGGAAGAAGCGCAGGTTGCAAAAAATGCTTCCACCCGTATTGAAAGCAATCGTACCGCCCGCTTCATCGTAAAAGATGTGCAGCACTTTCGGTGCCAAGGAGTAAACGGCGCCCACCTCAACAAGCAGCGATGCAAACGAATTGATTGCGCCCAGATTCGCCGACAAAAAGGCTGCTGGGTTGGCACTCATATCCTTGGCCACAAAGACCTTCATGCCATTGGAAGCCTCGGCCACAAAATTTATGTTTTGAGCCGGTGTCTTGTCGCAATATGTTGCCTGTTCTTTGACCTCATTGACCTGAGGTTCAGAAAAGACTCTGTCGGAGCCGTGCGCCCGGGTTGCATTGACTGCGTTGAGAAGATTCTGTTGCACCACGGCCGGGTTCGTTACTTTGCCATCATCCTTCTGGCCATTTCCATTACCAGCGGCCCCGTCAGTGCCAGACGATGACCCCGCGTTGGTGTTGGAGTTGTTGCCCATAAACTGCTCCACTTGCCCTCGAGAATCGTTCTTGTCGTCATCTTGGGCATCAAAGCCAAGTCGACGGCTGAGATTGGAAAACAAGCTCCTGCTTTTCCTGTTATTGGCTTTATCCTGTGGGCTCTCTTCAGTCGAGTCCCATGCTCCCGGCATGGATGGAGATTTAGGAGCTTCTCGAGCAGCTTCGGCTGCCTGTGGAAGTTGCGGATCCTTGGAACGGTCAGATTGGGCTTGCTGTGCCCAACTCTGCTCTCGTTCCCGAATCTGCCTTTGTTCTTCTTCCAACGCTTTGCGCCTCTCCGCTTCAGCAATTCTCTGTTCGGCAGCCTTTGCTCGAAGGATTCGGTCAACATTGTACCCACGCGACCTCAATTGGAGAAGGTCGAGTGCGAGGAACGGTTCAAAGAACAGGTATGCTTGCTGGTTTGGTCTGTCGAGCAGCATCTGGCATATGGCTTGACCAACCTGGTACATGTCTGGTTTTCCGTCATCCGCCACATACAATACCCATGATCGGTTGGTGTAAGTAGCGGCCGCAGAGCGCCTCTCAGTGTGAGTTTGCCTATGGCCCTGCAAGCTGCGTCGAAGCGCCACTGATCGAACCACTTCCACCGTCAGATTCTTCTCAAGCCACTTCGCATCGTGCTTGATAGCATCCCTGCGATAGTTGGCATACTCGTACAAGAAGATCTTGGATCGTTCAAGAACATGCTTCTTGAGCGACTCAGCCTTCGGCAGCTGTCCTGTATGAGGTCCAATGCGCACATCTTCTTGGACTATGCTGCTTAGTCTCGTCGCACCAAGTTTCAGATAAAACGTCTCCAGGATGTCCTCCTCGGGAGCACATATCAAATACTCCTTGAAAAGGCGATAGCTGATAATATCGTCCAGAACCACTATTTGATTAGCAGCGGCAAGCTCATATTGCTTGATCGGAGCCTCCTCTTCATCCAAATCGTTGCTGCCGCCCTTGGACGGCGCCACGAGTTCTTTGTAGGCGAGAAGACAGGCACAGCTCTTTAGTCTCCGCCAAAGCTCCTTGTCACGCTGTAACGTCGAAGCAGACTCGGCTAAAGATTTAAGCAGATCCAAGTATTTTTCAGGACTTTGTAACACGCTGAGAAGCCTTGCTGGCTCGTTGCACGTCATATATGCAACCTCCACTTTGGTTGGCTCGCTCTTGGCGCCGCATTTGAACAAGAATGCATTTCCATCCTGGCCAAAGTCCACAAAGTCGAAAATATCGCCATATGTGGAAGACGTCCCCAAATATGCTCGCGATGGGCTGATATAGGATGTGCCTGAGCCGGACTTTTCTGATCCAGCCGACCGCTTCACAGGAATGATCGCAGCAGTTCGAAGCTTGACAAGACTACTTTCTCCAAGCTCGCTGATTCGAGAGGCAAAATAGCTAAAGAGCGTCACAGCGGATTGATAGTTCTTTGGAGGATTGGCCAACAGACGATTCACGCACTCGGCCATGGGCGGATCTCGAGCGACACCGAATTTCTAACACGCTCTGTTAGTTTATATGATAAATTTTCTAAGGAAAGGATATAGATACGTACGTTGGCATGATCATGAAGATCACGGCTCAGAATCTCAAACCCTAGCACGGATGCTCTCTCATTCGTAAAGCATGCAGCTGGCGTGACCAACTTGGTGCTTCCCTGAAGCGGCAAAATGGGCTTGCGGCAATCACTGAGATCAAAAGCGGCATATCGATTTGTATGATGATTAGCAATAAAGTAAGTCATGGCTGAAGTCCTCAAGGCTTGATCGCTCGACGACATCATATCCACTAGCTCAGGGACGGAAGGGAAAGTCCGCAAGCCAAGGACTGTCAGGAAACGAGCCTCGGGGCTGCTTGGGCGAAAGCTGCCAGGAGGCCCAGGCCACTGAATGATGGGCAGTTGGAGGGATCGGAGAGAATCCTTGGGCTCAAACAGCTCCGAAACCTTGTACAGCTTCGTTGTGGCCTTGGTAGGCTCCATGCCCTTAGGTCCTGCCTCAGCAGGACAGATCCTGGAATCTTTCAACTTCCTAAGATCGTCCGAAGGAATGTCACTCTGCACAGAGGCAAGGTACTTGATAAGCTCCATATGACTCCATTTCTTTTGGCCATCCTCTCCCGAGGCGTTAAGCAAGCGGGTAAAGATGGTTTCCAGATCAACCGTCTTTCGTACGCCCATAGCGGCCAAGAACTTCTCTTTAACCTTCTCGCAACCTTGGATGACCGGCAAATCGTCAAAAAGTTTGACAGACGCAAAGAAAGATTCCGTCGGCTTCTTCAGGCCCAGTTTGGTCGGTATCATTGGGGTCGGTTGGACAAGACTCAGCACGGTGCCCCTACCGATCATGGTCATATTCTCCCAGTTCTTGGAGAGAACGGTGAGAACAGAAATGGCAAATTTGGATGACCTAGTGACGCTCTCCTCCTCAAGCCTAGAATTCGTCGTCTCGATGAGGTAACGCAGCCATGGTACAATCTCCAATGGTTCCCATCCAAGAGCTTCCAGCTCAGATGCGCTGATGTTCACAATAAGAGCGAATGGAACAGTCGTTGGGGGAACAGGCATGTTTGCAGGAATCTTTGCAAGACTGAGGTAATTGCTTATGCTGCCGAGAGCCACGATTTCACCCTGATCATTCTCATCGCTTAGAGTGGCGACAGCGACGTCCATCAGGGCAGCTCTGCTTCCCGGGTCAATCTCGCCAATTAAACTCTTCTTGCCCGCCCATTTGATGAAATTGATGGCCTGAGATTTAGTGAGTGCCTTGGCTTCCAACTCTTGCTTGACATCGGTGACGGTGATGTGAGAGATGAGACCAAAATCGATAAGCTTCTTGACGAATGGCGCATTCTTCATGTCTTGAGGCACAACTGGGATGCTATCCACGAATGAACTCAACTCCTCCGAACCCAGCCGAACCTGCGAAGTTTGCAACACACCTCGGCTTGAGTACATTTCTATAGAAGCCTTCTTGAAGCATGTCCAGAACGCCTCTTCGATAATCTGCCCGACCTGGCTGCTCGGCGTAGAGTCAGCAAAGGAAAAGGTTTTCAGCGTATGGAGCGCCTCGGGCATGAATTTATCAACAATCTCGGCGGATATCTTCTTGCCGGCTTCAGATGATTGTCGGATCCTGTGGTCGAGGTCGTCCATCTCGTTGGCAAAGGCTATTCTCGCTATGATACCTGCCGCGCGAAGAAGTTCAACGTTCCACGTCCTGACCCAGCGAGCATTCAAATCAATAGCCTCTCTCTCCACGGTGGGAATTACAGAGGGGGCGGAAATATGCATGCCAGCGCCTGTTGTCTGCATGGTAGGGAATCCGATAAAGATTCGGCCACCCGGCTTTTTGCTTGGCAGCACGGAGGCAAATACGTCTATTGCTTTGGCAAAAGCGCCGCTTTCTGCCGACGAGGTATTTGAAGCTTCCGCCTCATCGTATGATGTTGTGAGAATAGATATCTTGGTAGTTTTTGGAGGAGGTTTCTTCGTAGCACGCTCAAGCTCAGCCGAAAATGAAGATGATACGTGAGTCTTGATGCTGGCAGTGGTGGCCCTAAGGAATATAGTGGCGGTGTTTAATTTGGTAACATCCTCTGTAATCTTTGTCTGGGCCTGGCTCTCTTCTGCCTGCTGCTTAGTCTTTAGGAGGTTGCTGTTTGACGCGGAAGCAGCGAATCTGGCAAAGAACGACTTGAGAGAGGGAGCATCGTTTGTACCATACGAGTCTGAAGATTTCGCCGTAGATGCTGCTGCTTGCGGCTTCCATCCAACCGCATTCATGAAGGATGCGTCAATCTGAGTGCTCGTACGACCTACACTTGCTACTTTCATAATGTTGTCCTTTGTCCGCGGTTCAAGGTCACGAGGCAAGGCCAGGTCAACGCTTGGCGATGTCTTCTTGTGAAGAGACATAATCAAATGATCGTCTATCCAAAACTCCATCTTCTCCAGCGCAACGAATGTGAGACTTGTGGCCAGAAACTGGCTTATAGACAGCAGGTTCGGCATGGGAGTCGTCGTATTTCTATAGTCTAGCACGAACGCTGTATAGGGCGAAGATTTATCTTCAGGCAGATGAGATTTCTTGGTAAACAGAGAGTTCCCCTTCCAGTAGAAAGCCATGGCCTCGCTTCCAGAGCTAACAAAGGGCTCCTCGCAGTCAGCAAAGACGCTGTAGAAGCCAACACCGAACGCTCCAATCTTGGTTTCGTCGGGGTTTCCTTCAGCGATTCGCTTGAGGCGGCCCCAGTCAGTTTGTGTGAAAGGCTGGCCATCATTCTGGACAACCAGTCGCCGCAGTGTATGGTTGGCTATCGTGTGCTTCAGCAGCTCGGATCGGCTCGCATTGCTGGGAAGAGGAACGCTTGTCGAAGGATGCGTCTCCCACTTGATCGAGACAGTCGTGGCCTGCGCATCGGCGGCATTCTGTATGAGTTCTCGTAAAGTCGTCCACTCTCCCGAATATCGAGCCAGAACTTTGTCGATCAGAGCGCGGGTATCAACGGTGACAGCCTCTTCGTCTTCACCGTCGCGCAAAGCGGCTGCCCGGAGGCTCGAATAGTCCATCGCCATGGTTGGAGACGGATAGATGTCGTATTCGATATGTAATTCAAAAGTACATGTTGCTATTCTTCGTCACACGGAAGCGAGAGTGTCGTAAAGGGGGGGGCTCAGTCGTATACGTTAAGCGGACAATGTGACCCAAACCAGATCTAGAGGCGCTCGCTAAATGAACCCAAGCAAGCCAGGCGGCGTTACTGATGCTAATCAAAAGAACCGAGACCCACGGCGGAATAACAAAGATAAACAAAGGAGGGAAGGATGCAGAATCAAATCGAACTCCTATGCGCAGAGCCGGATGCCCGCATCGATTTGGGGGGGGTTGTTTGAAACTACGAGATGCAGGCAGTGATGCTACTCGGGAGCTTACGTTGACGACTCGCCGCTGCTGCACGTGCAAATAATTAGGTATTTATAGCGGCCGAACGCGCTAAAGGATCTCCGGTTGGTGAGCCGACTAGCGCTGAAGTACAAACGGTGGGCTCTGTAGTTGCCGCAGCAAACCGCTGGCATGCTGCCTGGCACCTAGGCTTCTTCTAGTTTTTGGCATACGTCAAACAAATAACATTTGAATAGAAGAGCAAGGTGGCGCATTTCAAGTGTTCATGTCGTGTTTAGCATCTCGTATGGGGTATCTTTGCTAATTATTTGTAAAATACTAGAGAAAATGCACATATGTGTAACAATCTTGTAGGTACACAGCCTTTGAATAGAGGCACATCAGTCGTCTCGACGAGAACTCGGTCCAGGGCTCCGCCGTCTGTGCTCCCTGGATCGTGAACGGTGCCGCTGCCTGCTCCGATCTCTCTGTCGTCTCTCGTCTCGCCTGTTGCTTCTCCTGTCATCACGTCTGTCGTCTCTCCGATCTGGGCTTCGACTCCTATCGCGATCTCTGCGATGTCGGCGTTCAAGATCACGGCCGCGATTTCTTTCGTCTCGATCAGGACTTCGTCGCCGGTAGTCTCTATCCCGTCGCCGGTCGGGGCTCCTGCTCCTGTCTCTACTTCTGCTCCTGTGCCGTCTTCGTTCTCTTCTGTCGTCTCCATGCCGTCTTGGCCTCTCCGGTTTCGCCACATCTCTACCAGTTTCTCTCGGCGGCCCGCTGGCAGGACCAACTTGTCGCTTCGGCTCAACTTCTACGGCATTGGCTCCAGAGATATTTCTAACTGGAGGCGGCAGCCCTAGTGCTTTGGCCATTGCATCTTCCTCCGCCTCTTTGATCTTGCGCAGTTCCTCCTTTTGTTCTCGGTCTTGGCGCTCTTCCTCTGTCTCGTTGGATGATGCCGCGGTAGCATCAGACTTGGCATACCAGTTCAGATCTCTTCCCTTGGCCCATCTGCCAACGGGGGCTTTGAGACTGTGGCCGAGATAATTTTCGCGATGGCTAGAGTTGGCGACTTCGTCCCAGCTGAAGTTGACGCCACCTCTGGAGCCGGTCTTTCGGATCGTCGAGAGGAGATCCATATCGGTGCCGTCTAGACTGTGAACAGAAAAAATATGAGGTAAAAGTTACGCCGTAACTCGTGTATAGCTTTGTCGACTCGCTGCCTTGCTGGAGTCTCGGTAGTACTTGACGGTTAGGAGAGATGTGGTGGTGATAAAGATTGATGCAAAATTGACGGCACGACGCGAATTGAAGATCCACTCGCCGGCCGCTGTAATCATTACCCCACACTGCGTAGCGCTTCTTTACAGCGCCTGCCCACTAAAAGCTTCCACCAATGCTACTCTACGAGCTAGGCTCTCTTCAAGCTGACCTCTAGCCATACTCTTCTTCTCTTCAACACCAACTCACCCGCTTTCAAAATGTCAAATCCAAACGACCCCTCCCTCGACGAGATCCAATGGCGATCCCCCCAGATTGTAGCCCAGATGGGCGGCCTCCACTCCAACACAATCCTCTTCTACTTTGCCGAATCCCCCTTCTTCGAGCGCACCTCCAACAACGCCGTCATCATGGCCCAGGCAATGAACAACATGGCCATGTACCACTACATCCAGACGCGCGAGGCCTTTGAAACGCGCCTCAAGACAATGTCGGGCCTGGAGTTCATCGTGGGAGAGGAGCCTGCCGAGACGGGGCCGGGCATGGGAACGGGCGTTTGGGTCATTCGCAAGCAGACGAGGCGGAAGCGGTACCAGGATGACGACGAGATTACGGTCCATGCCTCGTTTTTTGTTGTGGGGGAGAATATCTACATGGCGCCCACTTTGGCGGACATCCTGGCAGCCAGAATTGTACGTGAAAAGACCAACAGATTCGCTCAATGCTGAGGAGAAACGCTCAAGGACAAGGAACTAACTTTACTCGCAGATGACAATATCTTCCGCAATCGCAAAAGCTCTACCAGCCGCCGAAGCAGCACGCAAATGGCGTCCATCCACAGGCCACGTCTACACACTCCCCGCAAGCCAATCTTCTACCACCCCACCCAAACCGCAAGAGGAGAAGCCCGTACTCGACGAAGCTGGCAAATCAGCATCTGCAACAGCAGCAGCAGCAAAGCACGATGCCCCTTCCATGGACAGAGTCGCCGAGGAGTCATTACTGATCCACTTACGATACGGCGGAGAATACATCGACGAAATCCCCATCACAGGAAAGCCTGGAGAATTTCACCTCTCTTCTACGGGTCGCAAGCCGGTTCTGCCTCCTCAGGGCGCTGCTGCCCCGACTGGAATCAGTGCCATGAGCGGGCCTCCGATGATAAATACAAAGTTGGACGATAAAAAGGATGGCAAGGCGGACAAGACGCCAAAGTCCGCTACGATGCCGAAGCTCAAGAGGAAGAAGAGCAAGATGAGTCCTAGCGTGACTCCTGCGGCAACCCCTGCGGCGTCATGAGAATGGAGTTCAATTTGTACATGCATCAGAAGCTTCTTGGCTATAAAAAGGATAAACGGCGGCGTTCTAGATTTTTGTTTTTGATACCCGGTTAGAGGTTGGGTCGAAATAGTCTGCAAACAGATAGATATATACAGCATAGCATCATATAAATGACTTTCATCAATCCCATCATCTTACATTGTGCATAGAAAGCTGCCCAGTGGACGTACCAGCAGCATAATATCGCTTTGAATTTATACATCTATTACTCTTGTTCATCCTAACCCATCCAACAACGCCGTTATGTAATATATACTATTCAACTTTACTCAACAACCCATCCCTTGCCCGCCAATTTCTTCTGCTTCACCTTCTGCGCCGGCAGAGGCCATCCCTGTCCTGAAGTATTCTCCGCTCTCAAATACGGGACAACCCAGCATTCTCTCGTCATGGCACCATCCGCTCCCAACGACTGCGCCTTCACCTCCTTGATTGGCTTTCCGTAACTAATCAGCGGCGTGCCCTTTGCCAGTCCGGCTAATTGCCCTCCCGTCACGTCCGTAAGAGCATGCATTCTCGTCTTGGGCTTCTTTTCCGAATCAAGTGCGCCAGAAGGTGTGGCTCGCTGGAGATAGGCGTAGACGATGTACTCGGGGCATTCCTGGATGCTGACGTGTGCGAGAGAAGAGGTGGGGTGAATGTAAACGCATGGATCTTCGCCGCTGCCTGGTCTGTGTAGAGGGATAAGAGGAACATACGGCACGTCGATGGCTCGGCGAGGCTTTCTGAACTGCTCGGGCGGGTTGGGCGCCAGATCAGCGCGGATGGCGACTTGGTCCAAGAAGCCAGCTGCAGTCATTTGCTTCAAGGCGCTGACTTGTTTTGGCGACGGGGGATCCAGCTTTTCCTGGTACTTGAGCGCCGCGAATGAAGGGATGTTTGTGCGCAGCAGGTCTGTAATTTGTTTCCGCAGCTGTTGAATCTCCTTGAGGACCTTGAAGCGGACGAAATGAGCCTCGCACCACTTTTCAGTCGGCTCATGCGCATATTCGCCCACCACCTGCAGCAATTTGATGGCATCAGACTTATCATCCAAGAAACAGAAATTCTTCTGAACTTGGTTGAACAGTCGTCGGGCATTGGCTTGGCGATCCTCGGCGATAACATCCTCCGCGGTACGGATCTCGGTGTCGTCTTTAGCAGCCAGAGCTGGAATTGCCTGAGCCTCCGAGAGGTAGACTTCCGCCGCGGATAATCCAGCTACCAGGGCAATAGTGTAGGGCAGGCAGTTGTGGAGATGTCCCACAAGCAGAATTCTCGCAAAGCGAGGTGACAAGGGGAACATGGACATTGTCGTTCCAACCTTGGTAACTTGTCCGCTAGGGGAGATGGCGGAAAGATATGTGAGTAGCTTTTCAGCTCTGGCGAGCATCTGTCGGTCAGGAGGAGTTGGGAAGGGGAAATTGACGACGTTCTGCAAGTTCATGGCTTTGAGTTTTAGCACAATGCCTTCGATGGGTGTCCGGAGTAATTCGGGATCTGAAAACTCTTGGAAGTCTCTCTCATAGACCGCCGATGAATAGAGTCGATAACAATGACCAGGTCCCGTACGTCCAGCACGACCAGACCGCTGGCTAGCGCTGGCTTTGCTAATCCAGCCAATCTCATAACTCTGGACACCACTGAGGCGGTCATAATTCCTCTCCTTTGAGCGTCCGCAGTCAAAGACGAATCGCATACCAGGAATGGTCAAACTGGTTTCTGCGACGTTGGTGGCCAATATGACCTTTCGAGTGCCTTCCGGAACGTCTTCAAATACTCTCAGCTGCTCTTTGACGGGAAGTAATGAGTAGAGGGGCAGTATCTGCATCTTGAGAGGAACGACTTCATCTTCTTCGTCAATCTTGAATTCGTCCTCTCCTTCTTCCTCATCATCAGATTCGATACCATCTATATCGTCAAAATCTTGTGTATCAACATCGCCAAATTCCAAGTCTTCGACTTCCATCGGTGCTTCAGTCGCAGATATTTGCACTTTGGGGCCTTCGGCTGACCTTGGTCCTCCAAAAGCTGCCTTTAACTTTTTGCTTAGCTGCAGTATCTCATTTCGGCCAGTTAAAAAGACCAAGAATCCACCAGGGGGCAGCTTTTTATGGCCTCTGCTAATCTTGTTGAATGCCTCTTCTACGTAATCAGGGTGAGTGCGGCGTGCGAAATGAATAGTCACCGGATGCTGACGTCCTTCGACTTCGACAACGGGCGGTGGTGTAGGGAAGAGAGTCGGATTCATGGTCATATCTTCTATCCGTAGAGTGGCAGACATGATGATGAGTTTCAAAGGCTTGATCGTGGGGTCCTCTTGTGACAGCTCGGTCCTCAGCTTAATCACTCGACTGAGCATGCCAATCAAGATATCGGTATTGACGCTTCTCTCATGGGCCTCGTCAATAACAATGGCCGAGTACTTTCGCAGAGTGATGTCCTGCGCAACTTCTTGAATCAACACACCGTCAGTCATGAACTTGATGGCTGTCTTTGCGTCAACGTTGCCTTCAAAGCGGATCTGATAAGCCACTGCGCTTGAATGATCGCCCAGCTCGTCCGCCACTCGCTTAGACATACTGACGGCAGCAACCCTACGAGGCTGAGTCACACCTATTAATCCTGGCGTTGGAGAGTCTGGAGACCCATAGCCTGCTTCGTACAAGAATTGAGGTACCTGCGTAGTCTTTCCCGAGCCGGTAGAACCGCAAATTACGACAATGTCATGGTTGTGGATTGCTTCCATGAGCCTCTGCTCTTCTGAAACAACCGGAAGCTTCATTCGGGCCTCTTGAATCTCAGGTGTTCGCACAACACCTACACTAAACACTTTCCTTGAAGATTTTTCGGTGACTTGTAATTCCATCGGTAGCGGGTCTTGTTCGGGAGCCCTGGGGACGAAGTTTTCTGGTTTAGGTATCTCCAGTACAGACGAAGCTGCGTCTACTGGTTGGTATCCTTGTGCCTCATTTATCTGCTGATGGGCCCATGCTTTGAAAGAAGATGACCTCTTGCTCTTTTGTTCTTCATCCATGACTTCGTCTTCGTTTGATTCTTCTTCGGATTCGGATTCGGATTTATCTTCTTCGGAGTCCTCGCTCGAATTATATTCAGAATCTTTGTCAGATTCGTCTTCGGAGTCCTCGCTGGCTTCGTCTTTCTCATCGCCGCTGAGCCCATTCCATTCATCGTCATCCTCTGATTCTTCTGAAGCTGGTTGTTGATCCGCGACGAGGGAAATTTTTGATTTTAGGCCTCCTCTCTTTTGTCGTTTCTGAATGACTGGTCGGCCTTCGTTATCTAGTTCGAGGGCTCGTTTGAGACCAGATCCAACAGGGATTGCCGCTGCCGCTGCCGCTGTCGCCTCCTCAGTCGGTTTAGCAGCAGCCTTTTTAGGCTCGGTTTCAATTTTCGGTGCAGGCGCAGGTGCAGGCGCAGGTTCGTCATCCGACATACTCGCATCGTTTTCGTCGTCCCTCTCATCTTCATCAACCTCTGGCCGCTGCTCAAAAATGATATTCTCTGCCGAAGATGTAGGATCAACCCCAGCTCGGTGCTCTCTCAGTGCACGAGTTAAGGCCTGCTTCTTCGTTTCACGACCTTGCCCAAGAGATCTACTGCTCGAAAAGAGACTCGTGTCAATCTTTCTTTCGGCCAGCTTCGCAAGCAGTTCTCGGTTTTCGTCTTTTCGGAGCTTGTTGTCGATATATTTCTCGAGACGCTTCGCCTTCTTGCCGCTCATCTTGACGCCATCTTGTTTCAGCTGCTCCTTCATGCGCGCCTTCTTCTCCTCCAGGTCTTTCTTCGCGGCCGGCAGGATTTCCTGGTTGGTGTCTTCGACCTCATGGCGGGCATTCTCCTGGGCCCGTTCGCGAGCCAGGACCCTGTGCTTTCTCTGTCTGGGTACGAACTTTGCCATTTTTAGGCTTGGCGATGGAGGATCCTTATAACATTATGCTCACTGCTGAGCTGCAATGGTATCGTTCAATTCGCAGCGCTATCGCCAGAATCAAGGCCGATAACCAGAAATTTTGGTGGGTCGCCGATTTTGCCGCCTTTGACCGCTAAAGTCTTGATCCGGATTGAGAGTAGTGCGGGGGCCATTCCGCGCCTTCATTTGGTCTTATGAAGCTCGTTGATAGGTACAAGTTACCCTGGATCTTAACAGCTTTTGCAACCGAAATTCAGAATGGCGACGCTAGATATAAGACAAGAGCCTTTCCCAGCACGGAGTCGATCTGCTTCTGGGCTGGTCAATGGAGTTGCCACGGAAGTGACTTTGTTAGAATTCTCCGACAAGATTATGATCACAGTCAGCCAAGAAGGGCGACTAGCTCAATGGGTACGCCAAATTCGTACATCAAATACTGAGAAAACAGACTGCTGACACAGCTACAGATTCAAGTTCCTATGATGGGAACATCTGCGGGCATCGTTGACATGGCTTTACCAAGCGGCAAGCATGGATTGCTTCCTTCCACTCATCTCGGACCAAAGACGCTGCTTGGTGGAGGAGGCGACAGCAGAGAAACGCTTGGACAGCTTTATGCTTCGCAGATTGCAAGCCACATATCCCTACGGTCTCCGGAAGAGAGGCGGACGCTGGTTTTTGGATTTGGGCTGGCAAAGGCTGAAAAGGAGCAAGAGGCCTTCTTCGATCTCTTTGAGCTGGCTCTCAAAGTGCTATGAAGGAAAGGCGACGTGAATGGGAGTCATGCTGCTACACTTTAGAGGATAATTATACATGAATGCTGTGCTTTCTTTATCGCACATTATTCGCAGCTTTTGTGTCTCTCAGTCCGATGACCAGCTAGATTCTTGAGCACACTAGGCATGAAAGCAGGATACAGCAGACCGATATCACGAACGGAGGACTACCTCATGGATGACTTGCGTACTTCAGCGAAAGAGGAAAAGTAACAGGAAGTGAAGGGAAAGAACAGACAATGAATGTTCTCTTCTAAATACAAAAATGTAATAAACGCACAATTGGCGACTCAGGTTGATAATTGTCGATAAATGCAAAATATCTGGACGAACGGGGAATCGAACCCCGGACCTTTCCCATGCGAGAGGTCATTCGGATGAATGCCGATGCTAAGGGAAAATTATACCACTAAACCATCCGCCCATGATTGGTTGAGATGCGGTGTCATATAGCAGTATATACACTCAACTCAAAGCAAGTTGCTGGACTTTGACGCAAAATATTCGATACTGAAAAGTCATTTGATATTGCCCTTCACGTATAAAGTTACGGCAGTGACTAGCCATCTAGTTATATAGGTTTGTTCTATCCGGTGATTACCATACTTCCATTCCGCTCTAACACAGAGAAACTCTTCTCCATGCCAAAGCACTCAACGTACATTATCCAAGCAGCAAAGAAAGATGGCTCACTATAGCACCAAGTTATCCATACAATGGCTTATATACTGTGTTAATGAGCGAGTCTTTCGCTCAATAAGGAGGCACTAGCATCGCGTAGACATTACAGCATATACATACTACTATTCATAAATCATGATCCAAGTCTCCAGATCTCCTTTTTATTCTCACAACAGCGGGAAGTTCAGCACAACCGCCGACGAATCCGGCACCTGAACAGTGACCTGTCCATTCTTCACAACCGCAGTCTCTCCCACAGTGACATTGTGCAAACGCACGGGCTTGCCTAACGCAAGCTCATAGTTGTAGCTCCATCCGTCAAAAGTAATGCCCGTGATGGCGTCGCTTCCATTCGCCAGCAGACGCTGAATGCCAACATGCTCCCCGTTGCGAACGCCACTCACGGCGAAAGTGTAGCTCTGGATGGAGCGTGAAGGAGGATTGGGGAGCGGTTCAAGGCCCTGGCCGTCGACGGTGGTGTTGTAGCCACGCATGTTGAGGACGGTGATGCGGGCGAGATGGCCGTTGAGCAAGGGGCTTGTGTAGTGAGCTGCGTAGGCGGCTTCGCGGGCATCGGCTAGAGGAATGTTGGTGATGCTGACGGGGAGGAGGTTTGAAGCGCCCAAGGTGGCAGAGACGGCGATGTTGCCATAGTAAGGAGCTTTGGTGCCCCTAGAGGCCAAGTCTGTCTCGACTGGCTGCCAGGCTTGGTACTGTATATTGTTCATCAGCCACGGTTGCCTTTATACAGTGCAGATGGTAGGCGTTTACTTACACGATAGTTGGTGCCCATGTGCATATGGACGCGCTTGAAGCCTACCGAAGCCGCGTACAGGTTGAAGTCGATACCCCAAAGGGCGGCTCCAAAGGTGTTGGACAAGCCTGGTCTGCCCTGGTTGTAAAGAGAGTTACACTCGCCAAAGATCAGAGGAGTGGCTTTCTGTGCTTCTGGAGTGGCGAAAATGGCATTGTACTCTGGGAGATGGCCCTGGATTGAGCTCACGGTCTTGGAGTGGTTCATCAGCGTTCCTTGCAGGGTGACGCCAGGAGAAGTGGCACCGCTGATGTAGCTGTTTTTGGTCAGCATGGCTATGTCTTTTATAATTAAGATGGGCCATGATGTAACCTACTTATGAGTTGAAAAGAGCTGGATATCCTTGTTCTTGTCAAGGCCGTCCTGGAAAGCAAGGGGTGCCTTGAGGTGATTGCCAGTGCCGGCATAAGACGGAGCCATAAACTTGGGTTCTCCAAAGAGCGATAGCGCCGGGCAGTGCTTTTGGATCTGCTTCTTGATCTCAGCCGTGCCGTTGAGCCACTGCCAAGCATATGTGCTCTCATTCCAAGTGGAAGGCCGCACAGGTCCCTGAGCCGATGTCGAGAAGAGATCAGGCTCATTGCCGTACTCCCAGGTATACAAATTTCCATGGCTGAGGGCCTTGCAGGCCAGAGGAACAGTGTCAACGAGGGTCTGCCATCCCTCCGATCTATTAGCACCGAGACCCAGATTCAAGCCGTGGGAGAATTTAACACCAGGCCAAGTGCTGTATGACTCGAAATACGAGGGGCCAATGTGAATGGTGGTTGGATAGTCAGGCGATCTGCTGGGGTCGACAATTCCAACTAGAGAAGTCTTGAGCGACGCATTGTAGAGTGCATAGTCTTGAGTGTTGCCGCCGACGCGAATGTATGGCTTGGAACCAGATAGTGCACCGAGGTTGTTGATGAGATTGTACGAGAATGTGTTTGGAGCTGATTTGTTACCTGTAGGAGAGAGGATAAGCCTCCATTGATTCACTCTGATGAGATTGGAGGCCGATAGGAAGCTTACCAGCGAAATCAGGAAACGACGCGAACTCAATTGAGTAGCTCACGAAGCCATCAAACGGCTCGCCGTTGGCGTTTGGCTGAGAAGGGACGGTGTATACATCAGCAGCCACAGACGAAGCGGCGCCGAGAAGCGCAAAGACGGTACTCTGCGTCAACATATTGAAGGTGTTACAGAGCAAAGCATCGAATTGGAAAGAGACGACGCGTCAATTGCACGGCTGCATTACATATATATAGGTTCCTGTCCCCGGACCTGTTCCGGTCGGGACCCCGATGAGCTCTTCTCAATGCTACTTTACCGGAGCTACCTTGCATACAAGCTGCATTCTCCCCGCACGATGGCAAATGCAACATAGGGCCATCCCCAGATTAGCCACTGCAGCATTTTGTCACTGGCCGGGCTCGGCACGGGGGATTGTCTCATCACCTACCTAAAAGGGAAGATGTCGAGGAGAGCTCAACTGGAGCTTCATTGGTACCACATGGACTTGCTACTGCTAGCTACCGGATAAATATCCGATTCGACAAAGTTCCAAGGTAACGAAGGGTTTGCCATGTTTATGTGAACAGTTGATTGGTCTTCTGAGAGCTATTCTAGAGCTGTTCAAGCGTTCCTGGCATGAAAAGTCGGGCAAGATGAAGCTACGTGCTCCTCGGGCCGAATTGCATCCTGTTTGCGGACAGCGTCGCAACAGCGAGATTCCGCGAATAGGGTGTCGAGCCGGGCGGAGCTAACCCCGCGATTTGTCGAGCTCGTGGCATCTTGTTTGTTTTCTCTTTCTGTTCCATTTTCTTTCCATTCGTTTCCTTGGAATTGACTTTTCAATTGATTCCTGTGAGTTGTGCAGCGGTTTCGCTTTTATACGATGAATGCAGCAGCTATGTACTACTAATATGAGTTTACGCATGCTGATATACGCTAAAGAATGTACGAGCTGTCTCCAATCTGTAAAATGTGATTCCTGGGCAGCTTGAAGCTGGCTGAGCCGAGGAGGTCGATTACATGAAAGTTTTTTTTTTCCGATTGTCTGAAAGGGCAAAATCTCACCATATGGCTGTCATGCTTAATGGACAATTCTTCGTACAAGAGGCTAGAACACAATGCTGACTACATGGATGCTGAAGCAGTGGACTTTATCTCTTCAGCGCGCCTAAAAGTGAACACGGTCTAAAACATTTCTTTTACGTCTCAGCTTTCGTCAACAACTCGCATAATAATCATTTACACTATAGGCTATTAACTATTCGATTGAATGCAATCTTTGCTTCACTGAATACAATAGCAATGTCGAATCATTTGCCGCATCTAGTAAGGTACATGTCAGTTTCGCTGATGAGCTTATGAAATACGACTCATTGCCCACCTAAAAAAGGGCAGGGCCCCGCTCAGATTCTAGGTATTAGATGCAGTATGATATCAATCGAATAAATACATATGTAGAGATAAGTATTTCATGTTATTGTATGATCAAAAAGGAAGCAAAATGCCGCATTACAGTTATTGGATATTCAATTGACACGAAGGATTCAATGGCGTCTACTAAGTTACCTGAATTGCGCGTACTGAGTACTTGTCTTGTGATAGGGCGTCCTTACAATATCAGGTACCTGGCGTGTGGCGCTACCCCAGGCCCAGGTAAGCAGTAAGCGAATGCGAGGTGGGATGAGGCTGCCAATGAGACTCGCCTGATTTGCGTCACAGGAGCGACTAAGTTTGAGGCCACGCAGGAAGCTGTAGGTTGCTATAAATTCTCTCGGCTGAGGCTCGATGAAGCTTTGAGTTCTCATCGCGATCTTTTGAGTAGCGTCGGCCGGTATCATCAACCTGCTTCATAACAAGTTCCAATCCAGCGTCTTACAGGACTTACACAGCTCAAGCTACTTATCACGCCGCTTATTAGAAGCAGCAGCTCACTAATTATCGAAAGGGAACTTGAAGAGCTGGCTCAACCTCCATAATTCAACAACATGTCTCGCTATTTCCCACACACGCCCTACGCCGAAGACCAGCCTCTCTCTCATACCATCCTCATCACCCACGTCCTCACCCGCGCCGTCACCACAGGCTCCATCATCGGCCTCGCCATCACAGGCATCCGCCAATCAATCCCAAAATGGCGACATCCCGGGCCTCTCCCCGAGCGACTCTTGCTCTCAGTCTCGCGAAGCACACTCATCACCACGGCCCTTGTGGGCGGCATCGGTATCCCGGCGCGGATGTGGGGCAGAGAGCCGATTGAGTGGCAGGATCGAAGCTGGAGATTGATGGAGAATCGGGGGCAGCTGGAAACGGACGACTGGACTTATGCTAGCATGGGAGCTGCGGTGTTGGCGACTGGCTTGATGAGAATCACAGGAGCTGGAGGGCCGGCGAAGTTGGGATATCACGGCGTGGTGGGAGCTGCGGGTCTAGGCAGCGTTGGCGGGATGATTGGGTACATGGTTTGGAGGTATGGCATCAATGGAGGCAAGTTTGTCGAAAAGGATAAAAAGGGAGAAAAAAGTATTTGAATGTCAGTCAGGGATATATGAGACGGGAGGAAATTGAGCAAAGGCCGGCGTGCTTTGTAATACCAGAATTTGTAACAGTATCTTAACTCGCAAGCTCATCTGAAAGCACATCTAAGTGCACTTAATAATATTAACATAAAAATGAATCTCCAAAAACACACTTCTATAGTCTTGCCCGCGGCTCTTCGAGCTCTTCAATCTTCTGGTACTGGTAGAAATGATCCAGACACTGTGGATTCAACAGCGTTCCGCTTGGCTTGATCGTCTTTCCGGAGATGATGCTCTTGACTGGCAACTCGACCTTTTTGCCATTAACAGTGACCTAAAAGTGAACAGTTCGTCAGTCTCTCATTGGAAAGCAAGTGAATTATAACAAGAGAATAGGGAAGGATCACCACTTACCGGAATCTCTGGAATCTCAAACACATATTTGGGCACATGCCTCTTGGTCAACTCCTTCGCAATCGTCTCCTTCACCTTCAACACAAACTTTCTATCCAGCTTCCGCCCTCCCTTCATCAGCAGAAACAGCACAACGCTCTCGTCCATATCCTGCGGCCGTCTCTGTCCCACGCACAAGCTCTCAGCAATCTCCTGCGGGAAACATCTCTCCAGCACGGCATAAATATCCGCGCTGCCAAACCGCACGCCGCTTGGGTTCAGCACGCCATCAGATCGGCCCAGTAAGAGTACCGCCCCCGTCTTTGGATGTACGACGCAAAAGTCGCCCTGGGCCCAGGCACCGGCGTAGCGCTCAAAGTAGGCGGCGCGATATTTCGGTCCCGGGGCTGGGCCGGGGCCGTCGTTCCAGAGATATATTGGCATGTTGGGGAAGGCTGCCGTGGCGACGAGATCGCCGGAACTGCCTGGAGGGAGGGGAGTGCCTGCGCTGCCTTCGGGGAGATCGTGGTCGTAGGTGGCGATGGGGACGCCGAGACTGCCGTTCATGCAGCCGCCGACGTAGAGGGGATCGAGAGGGTTTTCCTGGATAAAGCAGCCGGCCTGTTTATATCATATGATTATTAGTATATCCCAGGAACCCGCTTCTTCTCGTATATATATGGTTTAGGTCAGCCATCGAGGAGGATATAAGACTCACAATATCTGTCCCGCCCGAGATGTTGGCCAGCTGCACCTTTGCCGGAAACGCCGTGTCATAAAACCACTCAAACATCTGATCTGGACACACCATGCCCGTCGTCGTCACCGACAGCAAGTTTGACAAGTCAAACTCCTCCCTTGGTGCGATGCCGCTCTTCATGAGCTCGCCCATCCACCGCGGACTTATCCCCATCATCGTCGCTTTCTGCTCTTCGGCAATCCGCAGCAGCACCTTTGCGTCGGGCGTCAATGGAGATCCATCATAAGCAACACAACGTCCGCCGAAAAACGTGTACACGATACTAGACTGGTACATGATCCAGCCGGTGGTGGTGTACTGCAGACCTGTATCCGAGGGCCCAATGCCCCTGTGGACGTGGATTTCCTTCATCATGGACAGAAGCAGCGGGCCAACGCCGTGGACGAGAGCCTTGGGCGTGCCTGTTGTGCCGGAGGAGTAGACGATGAGAGACGGATCCTGGAAGTCAACGCGGACCGGAGGCGGAGATGGCTTGTTGGCACCGGCCTGGACGAAGTCTTCGAACCGCTCTGTCTTGGAGATGGCCTTTGTATCGTAGGGTTTGACAAAGCGCTGGATGATGACAAACGACTGCAGCTGGTCGCATTCAGACATGCCGTTGATCATTCCTTGGATGTTGTTTCTCAGATCAATGGTCTTGCCGTTGTACAGGGCACCATCATCAAAGAAGACAAACTGTGCATTGAGTCAAAGAGAATTAGCCTCATCTCACATCTCATATTCCGTCTCATCTCACGACGTCTCACTTACCTTTGGATTCACCTGCACCGCCCTCTGCAGCAGCCCGCCAACGCCCATATCCGTCGAGCTGCTGCTAAATATGCCTCCCAGCCACGTCGTCGCCAGATACACCACGTACGTCCTCAGCGAATGGCCGCCGACAATCACCACGCGGTCGCCCTTCTTCAGGCCTCTCTCCTTCAGTGCTGTCGCCAGCACCGCGACCTCTTTGCGAAGCTCCCGCCATGTTACGTGCCGCACTTCTGTGTTTCCTTCTCGCACCTCTGTGAACGCAATCTTGGCATCTTCTTTGTTCAGCGTGTTGCGCGCCTCAGTAGACGGCGATGAAGTGTCTCGGGTATAGAGAGCGTTTTCGGCCCAGTTGAGACGCACGCCTTCGAACCATCGGGGCAGCTCGGTGAGGGGAATTGACTCGTCGACTACTCGAGTATAGGCGCCTTCGTGGATGATGGGGTGGAATTCCCAAAGGTGCTGGTAGAAGTCGCTGCGGTGATTACATGACCAGTTGTAGAGCTCTTTGAAGGACTAATTATTTGATGTTAGCCTCAATACGAGCACATATGCAGCAGGCTATGAGCTCAAAAGTCTGGCTCACCTGCATGTTTAAATTGAACTTCTTGTTCGCCTGCTGCATAAATCGCCACATGACGGTGCTCTTGCGGTCCGGATGCTCCCACAGCTTCCGTGGCATTTTGTCGAAACTCGTGCTAGCCATTGTGCCGTATCGTCGCAGTAATTTTCCTTATGAAACGTATTATGGGTATCTGATAAATAATACTCAAAACACCCAATTCTACCAAGCTTCTTAAGTCTTTTGTTGAGAACCCAAACCTCGTGATTGAAATGCCGAGACGCCTTGCTGTCCACACTCAACGCCAAAGTCCGGGATCTTGTCCTACATATGCGCGGCAAATGGGCCGAGGCACATTTGTCAGTTTATATGGCTGGGTCCTCCACTGCTTTTCGATCCTCCTCACCTCCCTGCCGTCGGTTATCTGCCTATGAGTTTATCCATTCTTGATGATTGGCCCCTGTTCCCCATGATCCATTTGCCGGATCCCACCCACCATTAAGCCGACCAAACAGCGAGCGTCTGCAAGGGAGAGATAACGCCATCTTGCGAACATCGGACTTTTTTTATCCAGCGCGAGATGTTAGTGCTACACAAACAAAAGTTTCGGCCCATTACGGCCCTTGGCTAATTTGCAATAAGTGGTTGGAAATGGGAACCGCGGCATAGAGGCGCTTCTGGGGTTCCAGTAGAGCGGGACTAAGCCGAACTATACAGCGGGTAAGCATCTTATTCCCACAGAGAGTCGCACAGTCTTAGCCTAAGAGGGGCAGTTAACGACATTGAATACTGGAGAACAGCAAATAGAGCCTGCTTAGTGCATCAGATGACACCGAATCTGGGGTATCCAGATCCAGGCACTGTTGAGTACCCGATTTAGGAAACGGCCTCCAGACTGCGATACCGGAAATCCGGACATTGAGGTGATATGCACAGTTTGAGACAAACTTTAATATGTGCCTGGAATCAATGGATCGACTATCGTGTTGAGAGTCTTCGCTCAGTCTTCTGGTGTAATGAAGATGTCATTCCCTTGAAGCATTTGGCCTCCCCGCACTAAATCCATCGGCAATCGGAAACTTGAGCGTTTTATGGATAAGCGGTCTTTGTAAACAGTCAATGCCTTGACTATGTATGCCTTTGCAAGATTGTCTATTTGTATCTGTGAAACCGAGTTAGCTGATGTATTTTCTCGGCTCAATCAAGTTTACACACATATGGCCTAAGTGAAGTCTAAGACTTTTTCTTAGCTGGCGTCATTTCATGTCAAGCGTGCTACGATCACAAGACAAAGATGCTGGAGGGGGAAAGAGAAAAGGGTTACAAAGAAAGATCGTGTTTAAAACTAGCTCAAAAATAAATAGAAAATCTGGTACTAAAGTGACAATCTGGTGGTAAGGAAACAATCTGAAGACAAAGAGCAAATCTGGGGGTAAAGAGAAAATCCGGAGACAAAGAGCAAATCTGTAATGAGCAAACTTGGTGATAAAGAGCAAATCTGGTGAAAGAGCAAATCTGGTGAAAGAGCAAATCTGGTGAAAGAGCAAATCTGGTGAAAGAGCAATCTGGTGGTAAAGAGAAAACCTGGAGACAAAGAGCAAATTTGTAATGAGCGAGTATGGTGATAAAGAGCAAAAAACTGTTGAAAGAGCAAAACTGATGATAAAGATAATATGGTGAAAAAGAGGAAATCTGGTGAAAGGGGGGAAGTCTGGTGATAGGGATAGGGAGGACATCTGGTAATAGAGGATATTTGGAGATGAATGACCAGATAGTTTGTGAAAAATACCAATTGCCGCATCCTAAACCAACTCGGGCCAATGGATTCTCATGTATAGCAACGTTGTTTAGAATCGCTCAAAACCCTCCAAGGTAACCTCGCTCAGGATGAGTTCACCATCAGAACTATTCTGTCGCTGGTGGTTCTTCTCAATCTTCAGCAACTTGTACGCCACAATTGTGTCCTCATCCTTCTTCCATTGGTGCGCCGAGCTGCCGCTCTGATTCCGATCAGTCCATCTGGTGGGGTCGACTATGCCGTATCTAAAGCGAAGCTCCGTGACCTCTGATTTCGTATCTCGGAAGACGATTTTGCCCTTGGCAAATTTCAGCCCAGTTATCATGTAAACTGGGTTTTCGCGACTCAAGAGGCCCAGTGATGACCGTGTAGGCTCATTCACATACTGGTCGACTGTGGGATTTGCCAATCGAGCCATAATCTCCGTTTGTCTGGGGGCATGTTGGAATTCTTTCGTTACAAGAATACTTGCTTCAAGATCAAATCTGGTGTATTTCTCTTTCTTGACAGACATCATCGACATTCCACTGGAAAAGTGCTCCTAGCAACGTGCCCAGAAATAAGGAGTGGCTTGGTCTGGAAACCACGAGAAGAGCCGATTGCGTTCAAGCTTCTCTTCTATCGGAGGATAGAATGCATCCAGCTTCAAGTTGTCGGGGGTGGTGAGCACTTCGTTCGGGCGGCAAGGATTGGCAATGATGGCTCCAATCTGGATGTTCTCGGTGTGCTCGGGCGCCATGTTAGGCGGGAACGGCATCCATGCCAGTCTCCCAGGCAGTCCCCCAGCCATCTTGTGCAGACGGATGGGCTACTAGACGAGAGGATGGAAGATAGGATGGCCGTAGATTCGAAGGTGAGAAGATGGATGAGATGGTGAGGGGATAGATGAGTGAAGAACAACTGAATTGCCTGAAGAGTGAGATTCAATGCAGATATTCGCTCATAATGCTATCGAGGAAAACAGAATGGAAGGGGAAAACTCGAACTTTTATACTTTTGGATTCAGCGCTGTCGCTACCTTGCCATATGAGCATCTTGCAGAGAATAGCATGAACAGCCACGGCACACATCTTTTGTTCAGGAGAACAAACAAGTGGAAGAATAAACGAGGCGTGAATAATACAAATTCATGTTTTTCTTGGCATTCTCCTCGTTCATCATTCGCTCAGACTCTTACACATCGTTCCAGGATTGTGGCTAGGCCGCGGTTCAATATGCAGTAAGGCTAAAGGAACTTGAAGCTGTTGAAAGAACAAAGCTGCACACCAAAATGCACGGTTTTTGGAACAAAGAATAGAGCGACATTGTGTCATTAATACAGCAGCATACACAATGGGAACGATAAAACCCACCATAGACCATACATGAACGAATAAAGCGCAAACGATATGAATGACTCTCGACACTGAAAATGATTGTACTGCTGCGCATGTTGCTTGCGATCCAGTTCTATTCATGGATGCAGATACTGGGATGCTTCACGATACATATTAGTGCTATACGCCTTTGTTGTCTGATGATCCAAAATAGTGAAAGATTTACTAGACATCCGAAGCGGCAATGATCAGTGCTAATGACTCCAAGATATGTGCATACCATAACACGTAGAAGATTTGTGGACTGGACCTTTAGACACGGTGATTTTCTTTGTCAAGCTATGTTCAAAGCCAATAGAAGCCGCGTATACAAAGCAATTTCCTCTCACTGTCAAAATGAGTTGCCATCAAAAGAACATTTGAGCTCCGTATCTGTCCAGTGTTTAGATATAGGTGGCACGCTGCATGTCACAAGTACACTTTGAGGATTTTAAACTCACAAAGATCTTGGCGGAGGATCTTTTACAAATAGCATCAACGGAAAACTTTGGGAGCGAGAAGGGCATGCATAGGCATGAAAGATTGACAAACGCGAGATCAAAACCATACAGCGTCATTGCAGCTGTATGACTCCATGCATAGTAAAATAAGCGATAATTGACTAGATAATGATGATGCCAGCTCGAGAGCCCTTGTAAAGTCTTAGCCAGCGATGCTGGCTCTAAAGAGCCGCTGCCATTGTAGTCTCAATTGCCACCACACATGACCCATCAAATTCGCCCTCGTAATTATTAGCAGCAGGGATATATATCGTGGCTTCCTTTCAGCATCAAAACCAGCGATGTTTTTTTGAGGCTCATTTTCACATATGACGTAAATAAAATGCTTGTGAGACACTGTTCTTATTAGTGCCTCTCTAATGGAACTTCTTAAGCCAGTAACCTCTCCCTTCATGCATGTCTCAGTCTCGAGCCGTCTTTACTTGTGCATCTCATGATCGACGCAAATGATGATTGACATATAAGCGCCAGATTAGTAATCTTAAACATGCTAAATCCAGGCCTAGATAGCTATATCAGTCACACGTCTATATCCCTAAAGCAATGGTCTATCAGACAGTCGTCGCGGTTTGAGGCGAAGGATCGAATTGGAATACCGTGGTCCGAAAACCTGGTCCTTGGCCTACTTGTGTCTCAGTTCTCCATACAGACGCAGCTGAGCAAATATGATATATATGGAGTAACATATAATCGGCGTAAAATTGATTCTTAGCTTCTACAGATATAAAAACGCCCTGATTCCTCCTGTTCCAAGAAAATCTGGCAAGCCAATCTCCCAACACAGACTTTCATCTTATTCAAGCCCTGTATCTGTCTATAACCTCCAAAACATGAAGTTCTCCAGTTTCCTCTCCTACCTCGCTCTCGGCGTCTCTGCCGCTACTGCAGCTCCCGCTGTCCAAATCGACATCGACCGCCGGGCCAATCTTCCCGGCCTCAACGCAGTACAGACCAAATACGCCAACGCCATCATCGCAAAAGCCAAAGCAGAAGGTGTCGGCGCACATGGCTGCCAGGCGGCTATCGCGACTGCCATGGTCGAGGTTCGTTCAGCCAGATACACACTTATTCTTCGTATTAGCGCTCATTATTCGCTAATTATACGCGATCAATATAGTCTAGCATCATCATGTACGCCAACAATGGAGTCCCCGAATCTCTCAAATACCCCCACGATCGCGTTGGTTCCGACCATGATCGCATAGGTCTCTTCCAACAGCCCGCTTCCATCTACAAGAACATCAAATGTGACATGGACGCCGCCTGCTCTGCCGGTCAGTTCTATACGGAAATGAAGAAAATCTCAGGCTGGAAAAACATGGCGATTGGCACGCTTGCTCAGAAGGTTCAGCGTTCTGCTTACCCAGACCGCTATGCTAAGCAGGTCGGTTTGGCAACTAATGTCTGCAAGGCTGGTGGTTTGTGAATCAATTCAAGACAAAGAACTTTCGCGTGGATTTAGCTGTACATCTGTTTCTTTGGAAAGAGGAAGCTCCATTTGCAGAGAAAAGCGCGTAGTTATAGGCCATAGCTATAATTCATGTCTAAATATGTATTACCTATATCCGTATCCTAATATGTTTCTGTGACTGAAAGAACTATAGAGGCACAGAAGAGATTGGTCGCATCGCTGCCAAAGTTCATCACTGGTCGACAACACACGATTTACCGTTGGATGTTGCCGAATACCACCTGGTCATCTCAAGCAAAGGCAACAACAAGAGAACAGCAGTAGTAGCAACATCTTCACATTACTCCTCCCTTCACAACACCATCAACTCAAAAGAAAAAAAGCTGTAAGAGTATGACTTTTTGCAATCTACCAATTCTATGCTCTCTCCAAATCCATAAAGCCCGGTTCAACGTACCCGCATCCCTCATCAGCAAAAATCTAAGCTTTGTCGTGAACACATGTACCCTAAGCACGTTTCCTCGTCCTCCTAATTTTATTATTACAAAAAGAAACTGGGTAAGAAGAAGAAAAAAAAAATGTAAAAAATGTAAAAAAACACTCGAGCCTCCCTCCCTTCCTTGCCCAACGCCTTGCTGAATGGAATAATACCAAAATTGCAATTCCCTCCCTCGTTCATCTCTCTCATCCTAAGTCTATTCTTTCTAGTCCTGAATGCCAAAAAGAAGATAGAAGTAAGGGAAAAGTTGTTTTTTTCTTCCTCTTGTTTTTTTTTTAAAAAAGATCCAACTGCAGTAAAATCTACAGATATGGCATCCACAAAGCATCGCACTGCGCCAGATTCATTGGGTTCACAGCCTTGGCTATCGCATCAATGACTGTCTGGTTCGCAGGCAAATTGCCTGACGGGTTATGCGCCAAGCTGATGGCTCGCTTCACAATGGAATCGCTGTTGAGCTGCACCGAGTCGCGCAGCTGGTTCTCGCTAATGCCGCTTCTGTGGCTGTTCATCAGCCAGAACATCATTTCGTCCCTGACAAACAGAGTCAATGCGTGCTCAAGCTCATGCTCCGGTTCCGTCAAGCACCGTGCAATCGCCATGACGGAGCAGGCAAAGATTCCCTCCATGGCCAAGGGCCCCATGAGCGCCTGCAAGTTCGGCGTGAGGCGGAATGGCACCGGCTCTGGGTTGTGGAAGAACGGCTTGGACGCGCTCATGAATGACATGAGCTCTGAGCCCCAAATGTTGCCAGACCCACGCGCAATGTTCATCTTGGCTGGGTATCGGTTGTGCATATATAAGATGTATGTCATGAACGTCAATGCCGACAGCTGGTATGAAAATTGCCTTCGGAATAGCCAGAATTCGGCAAATTGCGGGAAGGCCTGCTGGAAATACTCCAATGCCACAGTCGATGGCACCCACTTCTCTTGGATTGCGTTGAAGACTTCCAAACGTGCCGTAGGCGTCAGTTCAGGTTTCGACTGGTAATAGCTCAAGTTAGTATTCATATTCGCTATGCACTCTCCCATCTCGGAATATCGACTTACCTGTCCTCCCTTGGACTCAAGAACCCCTCGGAGCTTCTCCAGCGTGAACAGGACCGGCTCGTCTTTAGACATGCCCATCCGCCGGCAATGATCCTCGTAAACGCCATGCAATGTGATATATGACGTATCCTCTTGCACAATTCTTATATGTGGTGCCAAGGGAACCATAAGCGGCAGAGTGAACTGCAAGTCTCGTCGTCGGCTCTCCTTCTTGCGGCTTAAAGTCTGGTTGAGGTGTCTAAAGAGCTGCAAGATCTTCTCTTCTCGTCGGCAATGTCTGGCAGCGGGGTGCTGGACAGCCCATGAATGAATGCTGCCATCGTGGCCACGCATTTTGAGCCTTCGGTACGACGCATTGACGGATCGTATCAAATCAACGTTGGGCAAGAATCGCTCTATGCGGATGAAATCCTGGTTCTTGTCCTTGTGTTGGAGATACTGTCCGGGAATCTCGACTTCGTCAAACTTTTGATATCGGAATTCGCTCAGGTGAGGAGAGAACGCCTCCAGAGGGGTGTGTACAATCCGACGGTCCAGCTTCTCTTCGAACTTTGTCCGCCATCGCCTCAACTTATGAATGTACTCGTACATGGTAGGCTTTACTTCAACAAAATCGGCTTCAAACGACTTCTTTATATGGTTTGGCAAGATTGTTTCAGCAAAACGTGTTATGTTTGTTTCAGTTGCCGAGGGGAGCTTGACGCTTTTAGCGAAGGAAGACGGCGTCCTGCTAACATATGTCAGAGCATCGTTGAGTAGCGCAACAATGAGACGGTATGCGTCTTCGTCTGGCGGGCATTTGAAGTGCTTCTGGATCTGATCCACCATGGTCTCCATTGAGAGTGCCAGCAACGGGAATGCTGTCTTGAGGACTGACATGATTTCCTCAGTCAGCTCCCATGGCGGTCTCTTCTGGTTTTGGGCCGCCGGCTGCGCTTGCGCCTGGCCCTGGGCCGGAGCTTGAGAGGGCGTTTGCTCTTGGCCTCCCTGAGCGCCGTTTGCGGGTGCAGGTGTCGCCGATGTTGTGCCATTAGCATCACCATTCTCAGTTTTGACTTGGGTTCCATCGCCCGCGGTGGCTGTGCCTGGTCGTGATGCACTTCCTTCAGCCTTTGGTGCCTCTTGTTTCGTCTGTACAGGAGAAGTGCTAGCTTTGCCATTAGCAGTGACGGACTGAGCTCGGAGTCGCGCCTTTTCTTTGGCTTCCTGGGTTTTCTTGATCGCCATCATGTCTTCCCTGTTTGTCCTGAGTTGGAAATATAGAGCTTGAGGATACGACTTTGCGATTCCAAGAAGGATCTGATAGACTCTTGGTGCCTCTTTGTATCCCAAGCCGGTCAGCAACTGTGGAATAAATGTAATCCAGTACCATGTTGGAGTCTCTCCCTTGAAATCATCAAATCCTGCAGCGATAGTGCCTTTAGCATCGTCGAGACTCAGTAGCCAAAGAATTCTGGCAAGGAGCTTCCGCGACTTTGCGTTCTTGTAGCTACTAGCTGCTTGCAAGTAGGACGTCAGTGCCTGTCTTGCTGCATTCAAATCCGCTGGATCTTCCTTAAATCTGCGATCATTGAAGTATCCCCATTCGGCCCATGCCTTGGCCGCACCAATATCGAAATACAACGCCGTGCCGTAAGCCGCATCAGCTTCTTCTTTGTGTTTGAGCTTTTCGAGGAACATGCCCTTCAACGTGTAGAACTCAGCCTTCTGCTGGGGATTGAAGTAGTTCAAATTTGTATTGTTTATGACATCCAATCCGCTATTCAACTCCTCGGGATTTTCGTAGTGACATCTGGCCTGTTCGCGGAGCTTCAGGAAAGCTTCTTGAATCTCAATGTTTGGAAGTGTGTAGATACGGCTGAGCTGGTTGATGCAAACTTCTGGCAAGCTGTGCTTCCGGGCCACATGAGCAAACCGGTTAATTATCCAGGCTGTCTCGTGGAAGCCACGGTAAGCAAAAGAAGCACCGCCTGCATTTTGCTGGCCCTGCTGTGGGAGCAGTTGGAGATAAGTCTGGTTGATCAGGTTGAAAATATGTTGTCTCCAGGTAACTAAGTCTTGCCAAGCGGTGATATCGTCCCAGACGTTGGGGAGTCTGTCCCGCCAAGCGCCAAGCAGCAACTTCAGCTCTCCTGACTTGACGTCGAGGTTTGTTGCATTGGTATTGGCTAAGCTCTGGCAGATGACACTAGCATCGTGCAGCTCAACCAATTGTTGGAAGCTTTGAAGCAAGGGAATGTGGGCATTGGTTAATCGGACAGGAAGCTGGTGCCATTTCCTTATAGACAGCTGTATCGCTTCGTCGCACACGCGGGCGAAATCGTTTGCCGGTTCTTGCTGGTTGTGGAACTTGAGCAGAGACATGAATGCCTGGAAGAAAGCTCGTCGTGGGGTGGGAGCATCCATGACTCCTTTGATGATATTATCCAGAGCCTCACGGTGCTGCTCATCCTGCCACATGTCCGTGTTGCGCCAAGCGCATTCGAGCAGCAAGTCTTGGAAATTTTCGTGCTTGGCAAAATCTTGAAGAATTTCCCATTGTTGTAGCTTCTGAGCACAAAGAACCCAGTGGTCTTCCCAAATCATATACTCCGCTTGAGAAAATGGAATCACGCCAGTTCTTGCCTTGATCTGCGCTGCCTCATAAAGTTTCTGGGCTTTGTCCCACATGCCATTCTGTTCATAGGAAAGACCAGCGTTTGTCTCCACAAACTGAGAACGACGACGCCAAGTCCCATAGAAAAGGTCATCTTCCTGTAGGGAGGAGTAGAGATCCACAAGCGCATCGAGGTTGCTCTCACGGACAGTAGCCGAGTCACTGCCAGGGTTGATGGCCGCATTCTCAAGCTGTACTAGAGCTGTATACCAAGCATCGTACGTCTTTGCTTCAAACTTCAAGACATGTGGAGGAAGCCTGCACTCGGGCCAAGTCTTTGCTGCTCCTTCTATCAAAGACTGGACGACATTGGGTCGCTTGTCAATTTGGCGGCTGTGATAGTCCTTAGTTAACAGCGAAACCATGCCGTGTTGAAGCTCGGGTCTCTCGTCGCGCAAAGTCGCAGACCAATAGATTGGGAATGCGACGACCCAAAGCTGATGAGCGAGCTGGTTGTCGATGTGCTGTAGTTGGGTCAACGGCTCGATGATGTCGCGGACCTTTACATCGCCAATTTCCACCATGAATCGTCGATGGTTGGCCATGAGAGCATCAAACTTTTCATCCTCCATCATATTCGGTTCTCTTGAGTTGTCTTTGGGGTAGACTCCAGCAAGCTGGGACGCGCTAATTACTTTGAAGTCATCGGCATGAAGCTGTATGTTCGTGTTCATCTCCACGGCTCCCAGCAAAAGATGATTGGCCTGGGCAAGCCAGTAAGAGTCCGCGAGAGTGTCCCAGTTTTGCGACGTCAATACGTATGAGAGGCGAACGCTAGCTGTCTTGGACAAACTTTTATCAAAGATAG